CAAGAAGGCATCTCACCACCACCTTCCCGAAGGCAATTAATGACTGGCCAACTAGCGATGCCCAAGTCCCACAAGAGAATTTTTAAGTGAGAGAAGAATGAAAAAGGGTTACCAGAAAGTCTTGTATAGGTATGTTTACTACAATCATACAAGGGCGATGAAATGAATGGAGATGACAGGACCATAAAGGAGATTTGTGATTGGAAGCAGGAGACATTGCTGAGGTGTTAGTGAAATGCTCGCATCTGTCTTTATAAAGGAAGAAGATGCTACCCAGATCGTGAAGGAGGAGTTAGTTTAAATGTTTTTATAGTTTAAAATTAATGAAGAGGACATACTAGTTCTGATGTCTCTCATTTAAATTGATGGCATGGGAATTGCATCCAAGGATGCTGAAGATAGCCAGATTAAAAATTTGAGGTGTGCCAACCATGAGCCGCAAGGATGTTGGTGCAGAACTTCAAAAGAATGTAAGACTGGTTGTTTGGGCAAAATGTAGTAGATGATAAACTTTCATGTAGAGAAGTTTGAAGTGATTCATTTTGGTGGGAACAATGCAAAGAGACTATATAAAATAAGGGTGCAATTCTAAAGGAGATGTAGGATCAGAGGGATTTGTGCACATTATTATATACATAAATTGTTGAAGGTGACAGGGCGGGTTGAGAGACCTTTTAATGAAACATGATGTCTTGGGCTTTACTGGTATAAAATACTGATTTGACCTCTGCTTGAGTATTGTCTGGTTCTGGGTGAACACTTCCTAAAGAATATGAAGGTTTTAGGCAGGTTGCAGAAAAGATTCATAAGAAAAGATTCATAAAAATGGTTCTAGGGCTGAGGAATTTCAGTTGTCTAGAAAGACTGCAAAAAAAAATTGAGGGAATTTGATCGAAGTAATTAAAATCGTGAGAAATCTGGGCAGAAAAGATTGCGGAAACTGTTCACATTATTGAAAGGATAAAAAAGACAAAAAATGAGAATTGGCAAAGCTACCATTTATGACATGAGAGGAAAACTTTACACAATGATTGGGATCTGGAATCCACTGCCAGAGAATGGTGGAAGCAGATTCACACGTCTATGGGGAAATGCCAGGGCAGTGACACTGGATTAATTGCTGTTTGAGGGCCAACTTGTACACGCTTTCTATGGTCTAAACATTGATATTTTTCATCTTCTAGAGCAGTTGAAGATTCCTTGAAATCTGATTTTATATGATCTATATAAAATTGATTTTAGTTGGTGCCTTTTTTAACAAAACAAGTTTTTGTTTATAATTAACTTTTAGTTTTCCACACCTTGCATTTGTGTTACAGCAACATTTGTCTGCATTAAAGTCCAAACTTAGTCAGTTTAACCTGATTAAAAAATACTTCAGCTGTAATTTTTATAATCCAAGTGAAGGATTTCCCCTCCAGCCCAGGTTTTCTTCAAAGAAAGTATTTTTACCACATCACTCACCCCTAAATGTTAACTTGAGTATCTTTTTCTAAATAAGAGATTGCAAATCAATCATTGGTTTTTAATTTCTGAGCAGTGTCAAGTTTAAGTGTACACCCATGTCCTGGTGTAGACTCAAATATATGCAGTATACAATTCGGGGCACATTTTTAGAGTTGAGCAGTTGGTTCCTGTAACTGGAAGTTTGGGATGCAGCTGATGGCTCAGTTTATTGGTGGCTTATCTCCCCAAAAAATGCTTGTTAATTTTGATTTACACAGATGAAAAGTAGTAAAACTTTGCATTCAGCTTATTTTAACGGGAAGTTTACTATCAGCAAGTGTTGATCTCTCATTCTAACTTAGAGCATTGTTTTGGCACTTCAGACCTTAAATTTGTGAACTATGAATTATTGTAAGTGTTTTCATCCTGAATGAGAGATTGCACTGAATGTAAAATAGCTTAAATTTTAAGCATAGTGAGCAGTGAGATCTTGGTGTCCATGTGCACAATTCCGTAAAGATGGTAGGGTATTTGATAAGGTGATTTGAGTTCAAGTGGATTACATGGGTGACAAATGGAGGAATAGGATAACAAAATTAAAGAAACTGTGTTAGGACTTTACAGTTCACTCATTAAGCCCCACTTGGGGTGTTCTAGACCATTCTGGACACCGTACTCCAGGAAAGATGCAAGTACTGTAGAGAGGGTTAGGAGGAGGCAGAGTATGATGTGTACCAGGGAGAGGGACTTTAATTATGAGGAGATGTTGGGGAAGTTCAGACTGTTATCTTGAAACAGGAAGTTAAGTCAGGACTTGAAACCTTCTATAGTTAAAGGTTTTAATCAAATAGATTTAATTATTTCTTTTGGCAAGAGTATCAATAAGCAGGACTCGGATTCAAAATTGTTGGTTTAAAATCTGGACGAGAGATGACTTTTATTTTAACTCTGATGATTGGGATCTGAAAGTCTTTACCTGAAAAGGTGATGAAATTTAACCTTGTAAAAGAAAATTTGATGATACTTTAAGATGAAAATTTGCAGTGTTACAAACAAAAAGATTGGAGAGATGGCACTAAGCAAACTGTTCCTTCAAAAATCCTGAGGGGGTAATGTGGGTCTAATGGTCTCTTTTCAGAGTTTCCATGATATGGAAGATGCATTGTGCCAAAAAAATTGTTGCTTTTAACTAAAACTTTTAAAACTGGAGCTATTCTGAAAGAACCTTTCTGAATTTGAGGGGTAACTCCCATTTATTTGCACTAGTTTAAAATATCAACTGAAGGCATAAATTGAGGCAATGTTGTAAGAATGAAAGGAAGTTAACCTAAAATATTTTGACACAAAGATTGCTTTACCAGAAAAGCTGTGATCAATCTAATTTGAAAAGACATTGAGAAAATAGGAAAAAGAAATTGTTGATGGCTGTAGTTAAACAACTTAGCCAAGATTGTAAAGTGTAATATTTTTTAAAAATTGTAATTGGAGTTTGAAGAAATTGGAAATAGGATGTGTAGTTCTTAGTGGTGTCATTTCTGATTGTACAGCTGTAAAATTAACTGCTGGGAGAGAAAAGATCAGCTGTGTAGCTTTCTTTTACAGAAAAACCATCTTAACATTGTGACTACTTGGATATTGGTCATTTTCAATATCACCAATGGCTGCAGTGATTGAGAAAAAACTGTTCCTTAGGCTCAGATTAGTTTCTGTGCATTGATTACATTGTGCATTGCTGAGTCTTAAGCTTGTTTTGAGTTGTATGTCCCCAGGATGTTTGCTCTAAAGTTGCACTGGATGTACTGTGTAGAAATTACAGCTGAAGTTGAAAACTGTAGTGTAATTTGTTTATCCTACATGGGTGTTAAGATTGATTTCTCACATTTCAGTTAAAACGTATATTATCTGTTTTTACTGGTATGGATACTGTGGTGCTGTAGCCAGTAGAAATGTCCTCAGGGTATCCATTGCAGAGAATTCTACTTTACATAGCCATTCTTTGCGCTCTGTTCACAATTTTTGAAACTGTTGCTGCTATTTCCTTTTGGCAGGGAAAAGATCCCTGTGTCAACTTGCCCAATTTTGGTAACATCACATTCTGCCTATCAGTGCTTCATTACTTGGGGTATCTGTGACTTGCCCAGCCAAACTGCTTGGAAAAGGGAAAAATATTAAAAAAAAACAATGCATATAGTGTGTTTGAACCCATAAGCAGCTTTGTGTAGGTCATGGTAATAAAACAGGTGAATCGTTCTTTAGCAGGTCTACATACGTTTCCACAATGCGGCCAAAATGCGGGTATGCCAAGGCAGTGTTCCTTGAACAAGAAGATTTATAGATTTTATTTGCACGGTTATTGACGTGTGAAGGGCACTGGTGCTGGTGAATGGTATGCTTTGTCATTTTGGACATAGCTCTGCATCAAACACTAAGTCTGTAGAATGACTGGCTGCAGAATAAAGTTTGCACCTTAACTGAGATGTGGCAATAAAGCCCCTGCTACATCAATGTATTGTTGTCACTTCTCTCACAAGCAACTTCCATAATCTAATTGCAAAGGGCAAATTGAAGGCACTTTTATTTCTGAGGTATGCATGTTAAAAATTGTGATTATATCAACAAGTTTTTTTTTAAACCAGAGACTGCGTAATTCTAGTCTGGGATAGACTGGCATAAAAGATCAGCTTGCTAGCCAGCTGTATCAACTCATCCCTAAGCATGTGCATGCCTATTTTTATTTTCAGACATTTAAACAATATTTGGTACTTCATGATCCATTAATGTTCCATGAAAGTCTTCTCTTCTCTGAGACTTAGTATCAGGACAAAATCAACGTTACTATGATCGGTCTTCTGTTAAATAATGTTACTTTATTTTCTGACCCCTTACACTAATACTGGTGTATTTAATGTAGTTGAGTTCCTCATAACTTAAATCTTAAAATCCTTCACTCTCTTCTAAACACTTCTATCCAACTTCTATGAACTCTCAAATTTATTAATATTTTTCTGAACTTATGCCATTGCCTGTTAGTTAATTGCAACAAGACAGCAATCAACAAAATATACTCATAAGCTTAGGACATAGGTTTACATATTTTTCAATGGTCATGAAATCTTTTACTGCCATTGACAGCAATTCCATCTGTTGTTAACTTGTTTATTTGCCAACGTGCATTGCTGTTTTTGCCTAGTATAAATTCACCTACCATTTTATCAATGAAAGGTTTTAGCACCTTTTGAATGTCATCAGTTTCTCAGTATTCAAGTGGGATTTGAAAAGCCAAGACCAGGAAATGGGTTGAGAAGACTTTATTCCACGTAACTTTTCCTTCCGTTTGTATTTTTAATTTCTATGTTCACTTGAACTATTAAAGAGAAATTTGTAATGTTTTGAAATATCACCTGTGTGGGTTAATCAAAATTGCTGCAGCTTTTCAGTGTTTATTACTGCTCGCTGTCACTACTCACTACATCCCTATTTTACCACATCTCTCGTCTTCATAGTTTTCTACATTCCTAACATGGTTAATCAACTTAGATTAATTGCTTTCTCAGTGGACCGCATTGTTGGACTGGATCAAGTTGTAGAGATGTCCCATACAGCATTGCCTGGTGCATTCAAAACCAAAAGGGGCATGTTCCGTACAGTTAGTCAACTTTACAAAGAGCAGCTCTCGAAATTGATGGCCACACTGAGGAACACCAACCCTAATTTTGTACGCTGCATTATTCCTAACCACGAGAAGAAGGTGAGTCTGTGATCTCTGTCAGTTTATGGATGAGGTAGAGAGGGTCACAAAACTGATTGAAAAGCCAATTAAAACTGCAGAGCGTCATCCAGTAAGGCTGTGAGGGTTAAGCCAAAATACAAAAAGGAATTGCACTACTGTGTGTACTACAGACTCCCAAATAATCATAATGAAACGAAAGAGCAAATATCTAGGCGAATCCCTCAAATGATCTAATCCTAGTGTGCAGGGGGCAATTTCAGAACTTGCAGATGGCACAAATGAGGGGAGGGCAGAATAGAACTCCAAAAGGACATAGCCATGTTGATGGAGTGGGAAGACAGGTGGCAGATTGCTTTCAATGCAGAGATGTGAAGTGACATACCTTGGTTGGAAGAACATTGAAAGACAGTATAAAACAGGGTGCAATTCCAAAGAGACAACACAAGTACAGGGATCAGGGTACGTACGTGCACAGATCAGATCATTAAAGATTTCAGGACAGGTGGAAAGAGTGGTATATAAATCAGTGTCCTTGACTGAGCATAGAGTTGAAGAACAAGGATGTGTTATTGAACTTGTACAAGACACTTGTTAGAACTCAACTGGTGTGTGCTGTACACTTCTCAATGCCACATTATAGGAAAGATGTGAGTGCATTGAAGAGAGTGCAGAAGTGATTTGCAAGAATGGTTCTGGGGTGTGAATTTCAGTTATGAGGATCAATTGACAGCACAGCGATTAGCACTGCTGCCTCAGTGCTAAGGGTCTGGGTTTGATTCCAGCCTTGGGTGACTGTGTGGAGTTTGCTCGTTTCTCCTGTGTCAACATGGGTTTTCACCGGATGGTCAGGTTTCCTCCCACAGATGTGCAGGTTAAGTAAAGTGGCCAAGCTAAATTGCCCTGCAGTGTCTATGGATATGCAGGCTGGGTGGATTAACTGTGGTAATACAGAGGTACGGGAATTGGATGTAGGTATGTCTGGGTCGGATGCTCTTGGAGGGTTGCTGCAGATCTGATGGGCTGAATGGCCTCTACCTGCACAGTAGGGATTCTACAGGCAGAGCTGATTGGAAAAACTTGGGACTGTCATCCTTGGAGAAAAGGAGACTGAGGAGATCTGAAAGATTTTCAAAATCGTGAGTGGCTGGATACGGTCATCAGGGAGAAACTGTTCCATTTGTAAAATGAATACGTATAAAAGGGCGCACTTAAAGTGATTTGCAAAAGCAGCTCGGTGATTTTGAGATAAAGCTTTTTCACTCTGCGAGTAGTTAGGATATGGAATGCACTGTCTGGAATTGGTAAAGGCTGGTTCAATTGAGGATTCAAGAGGGAGATGGATGATTGGGTAAAGATAATATACAAGGATATGGGAAAAAGTAGGAGATTGGCACTAAGTAATGTTGATTTAAAAGTGGTTCAGACATGATGGGCCAAATGGTCTTTCTGTGCAGTAAGACATGATTATGTGAAGTGCAAAACACTATGGCAGGATATAGAGAAAGTTCAACTATGATAATTAATTCAGAATTGGTGTGAATGCACAGAGAACAGAATTCTTGAAATGCATTCAAAAGTGCATTTTTAGCCGGTGCATAGTATGCCCAATAAGAGAAGTTAGGGGCTGTTTTGGATTTCTTTTGGCAATTGAAGCTGCGGCTGGAGGGCTATCAGTTTGGGAACACTTTGGTGCAAGTGATCAGAATTCATTTATGTTTAAGATGGTTGTAGAAAATGACAAAGACCCAAAATAATTTCTCAAACCAGAAGAAACCGAATTTCCATGCTGAAATGTGAATTTGTCAAGTTGACAGCTACCTAAAAGTAAATTAGTGCCAGATTAGTGAGAGTCACTCAAGGGAGCGATTTAGTGTTTTGGAGTAATTAGAAAGGTGTGGCATTAATAAATCCAGAGTTTCTAGATAGGGGACTTAAGGAGCGGTTTATGAGGGTAATGCATTTTTGACATGGTCCTACATGGCAGACTGGACATGGAAGTATAAGATCCTGGGAACCCAAGGTAAAGTGGCAAGTTGGATCCAAAATTTGATCAAAGCTGGGAAGCAAAACAAAATGGTAGTTTTTGGCTGGAAGACTGTGTTTCTAGTTGGCTTCCACAAGGCTCCGGACTAGGTCCCCTTTTGCCGTCTATGTATCGATGACCTGGACTTGATTGTAGGAGGCATAATTAAGGCGTTTATAGATTATTCAAAAATTGGCTATGTGACTGATAGGAAGAAAGCTGGAGACTGCAAGATGATAAAGGGTTAGTCAAGCGGGTGGTGGAATAGTGGCAAGTGGAGTTTAATCTGGAGAAGTGTGGTGTAGTGTATTTAGGAAAGGTTAAGAGCAGAGAGAATATACTGAAACTGTATAAATATTTGTTATTCCAAAGCTGGAGCACGGCATACAGTTCTGGTCACTGCACAATAGGAAACAAATAATTGTACTAGAGATAATGCAGATGTAATTAGTGAGGAAGTTACCTGGAATGGGAAATTTTAGCTATAAGGAAAGATCGCATACAGTTAGATTGTCTTATTTCAGACCTGAGGAGCCTAAAAGGTGCCTAATTGTGAAGTTCATTAAATTTAGGGGTTTTGGGTATGAGTCAATGATGGCTCTACTATCCTTTGAGTCCAAACCAGGGGGCATTTATGTAGAGGTGGGGTTCAAGGGGATGTTTATTACCCAGAGGGTGATTGAGTTCTCACTGCCTGAAAGAGTGGTAAGAGATTAGAAAAAGTCAACAGTTGAAAAGTACTTGGGTATACACATGAACTCCAAGATCTTACAAGACTATAAGCTATGGACCAACAGCTGGAAAATAGAACGAGGCTAGATCGTTTGTTGGCCTTCGCAGTTGCTGTGGGCCAGTTGGCTGCTTTCAGTGGTGTAAATTTGAGACTTCTGTCTTGCCTTGAGAAAAAGTTTTTTTATAAAAACCCTTGAAGGGAGGGTAAATAAAAGTGAACTATTTCAAGCTAAACCCTGTTTGCAAAATCTTTACAGTTTTGAATTTTGAGCATAATAGTGTTGCACTGTGCTTATATTAACTTGGTAAATCAGAGTTATTGCCAAAATAGCCTTGCATTATTTCCCAGTGAATAAAAGCTTGCGCAACTTTACATATGCTTATTTATAAAAGCAAAATATTACAAATCATGGAAATCTGAAACAAACACAATGCTGGAGAAACTCAGCAAGTCTGTGGCACCATCTGTCAGAGAGAAACAGTTAAGTTTTACTGAGCTTGAAATGTTAGTATTGTTTCTCTCTCTGCAGTTGCTGCCAGATATGCTAAGCTTATATATAAATTTGGCAGTCTCAGTAGGCAACAACTGAGGAAACAAACTTAAAAATTAGATTTATGTATTTTGGGCTAGGCATTCAGCTTGATCTTGGGATTCTGAGGCATGTGCCAATTACCATGACATTACATCTGCTTTACAAGATGTATTTTACAGTAAAAATGCTTTAAACTTTTGCCATCTTTGATTGATTTTAATAGTCCGGAAAACTGGAAGCTCACCTTGTTCTGGATCAGTTACGATGCAATGGTGTCCTTGAGGGTATTCGAATCTGCAGACAGGGGTTTCCCAACAGGATTGTGTTCCAGGAATTCCGTCAAAGGTATTCTGCCTTGACATTTTCAGTAGTGAATGTGTCTATATGTTGCATAATCATGAAGCAAAATAGTTTTATCAAAAAAGAAACATGTTCTTTCATGTTGATCAAGAGAGCAGTAACACCATAAACACATGGTTTTGTTAAGGAAGGCCAGGAGTAATTGAAAGATAACATTGTATTGTGACAGAATTGAGGGTTAAAGAAAAGTTGTGTAGATTGTTGAACTACTAGCTAGTTAATGATGGATGAGACGAGTCAATCTGTACTTGGTTTGGATTTATTTAGTGATATGTACAGCTTGACTCAGACTTTGTCCCAGTTCTCGGTAAATGTACAGAAGATATCTATTTTGTTTGCTTATGCTAATAGAGATGCAAAACAATTGCATCAATGTGCTATGCAAGTTATTCTCATCATTCAGCCTATACTGACAAAGTTGTTAAAAAAAAAAATTGTTTATGTAGATAGCTAGTATCTAGTCACTTAATGTAGTTAACGTGTATAAATGAGCTGATCGTTTGCTTTTGTTTTGATTCTTTTGTTGTCCTTCTATTGCAGATATGAAATCCTTACTCCTAATTCAATTCCTAAAGGTTTCATGGATGGAAAGCAGGCTTGTGTACTTATGGTATGTAAGTTTAAATCTGATTGTGGATTTGCGAATATTTTCTAGCTTAACTGTAATTTTTTAAAAAAATTTGTCATGAGATGTAGATATCATTGACAAGGACGCATTTAATGAATGATGTGAACATCTGAGCACTAATCCCTGATTCAACATGAAGTGCGGTTATAAGCATTGTTTCATTTTTAGAGCAGCCGAGACACTGGTGTATGGTCCAAACTACCCACCTCCACAGCTGCATAAAATGCTGTAACATGGCTGATGAAATCTTAATGAATGTAATTTCTGTTCACTTAAACTCTCAGTGCAGTAGTCCCAGAATGGGAGGCGGCCAGTCAACTGATCTTGTACCGGTCAGTTCTCTGACAGAACAATTTAGCTAGTCTTAACTCTGCTGTCTTTTCCAGCCTGTCTGTACCCTTAAATTGCACTTGCATGTCTGTCATCACTGTAGATTAAGATCACAATAGAAACTCTGATGAGCCCCTTTGTAAAACTACTTCTAGTCTGGGAAAAATACATTCACCTCTCCATTAACAAATTCATATTGTGATCATCTTGGCTCCGGTCCTCCCTGTGCTGCACTTTTTGTATTGTTTGTATGACAATGGAAGATTGTTTTGGATTACCTTTTATGTTTGTTACCAATCTCTTTTTTTTGTTGTTTCATTTCTTTCCTCAACTCCTGAACTTTGTATATTTGGCTTGGTTTTCACTTGTGTAATCAACCTGCTGTTTGTCATATATCCCCCTTTTTCTATTTTATTTATTTATACTGGTCTGCCTGAGTTGCATTGGTCCCACTTCCCCCAACTATTCTGAATATTCCAGAAATCTGCTCTGTCTCCTGCTTGTCTCCAGCCATGCATTTATCTGTCCTGGTCTCCTGTTGCTATACTCGTGCAGGGTACTGAGGGTAATCTAGAGATTACTGTCTTCAGGGTCATGTTTTATAATGTTCTTCCTGACTCCCTAAACTCTACTGCAGAATTGCTTACCTCTTTCTATGTCTCACTGGATCAAGGGTCCTGGCTGTTTGCAGGTCTCCTTGAACTGCTCTACAGCTCCTCTGTAACATGGCATAAAGGAGGCAATATACCATCCTGGAGACAAGTCTGCAGCAACTGAAAACTTTTCAGCTCTTCTATCGAGAGGATCCCTTATCATTTCTGCTTTCCACATCTTCCACCTGACCCGTGTAGAGCTGAGTACAGTAGGGGAATTGAGGATTATAGGGAAGGGGCAGGGAAGTGAATGTAAAGAGTGTCAGATCAGTCATTATCCTATTGAATGGTGAGCTGGCTTAAGGAGCTGATTGGCCTACTCCTTTTCCTATTTGCTATGATCTTATGTCTTTGGTTGTGTTCCCCAGAGGATCCCCCCCACACTCACCAGCATTCAGAATTCTGCATACAGAAAAAAGATATAAATTTAGTGATCTAAATATAAAGAGATTGGTCGTTCTGTGTTGTTCAGCCATCTCTCTTCTGTTGGTGTAATGTTTTATTTGAAGTATAGTTTCACGTGAGTTTGCACTAATCTTAACAGAGCTTACAGCATGAGCCTAGACAATGACATTGTCACAACGGAATCCTATCTTGGCATCTACTGTCTGATTCAACAGCCACCATTGGCTATCTAACAGGGTGAAGAAAGCTGACTATTCAAGATGATATTCAATACCTCATTCCATGAGTTTCAGATCATGAATCCATCAGGAGAGACTGATTATAGCTGTCTCTTGAAAAAATTAACACTTGGATTCTCCCCCTGTCCTATTGCTACATTCTTACAGATCAAAGCTCTAGAGTTGGATCCCAACCTGTACCGGATTGGACAGAGTAAGGTGTTCTTCCGTGCTGGTGTATTGGCTCATCTTGAGGAAGAGCGAGACTTGAAGATCACAGATGTCATCATTGAATTCCAAGCCTTGTGCAGAGGCTATTTGGCAAGAAAGTAAGAGATCTGTTTTCGAATTGTTTCATTTAATTCTAGGGTAAAGTTGGACTCTTTGCTATTCCTGCCCCAACCGTGTTGAAAGTGGGTGTGTCTTAATCTGGCTCCTTTGCTTGGGCTGAGTAAATTCGTGGATGGTTTTAACATAAGAATTTAGAACCACCCCTTTTTTCAATGTTCATTTGCCTGTCAGGAAGTATAAGAGCAACGTGGAGTGACATTTCCTTGCGATGTAAAGAAGCTGAGATCAATACCCTCTCACCAGGCTTTGCGCTGGTACATATCACATATGTATCTACACTTTGTTCCTCCCATGTTTCCTCTTCCTGTTCCAAGTAGTTAGTTGTAGTTTCTGCTACCCCACCGTTTGTCATTGCTTGGTAATTGGAAACCCATGATGTTTCCTTGTCCTATTCTCAGCTCCTCAAAATCATCCCTCTTCCAATCTATTAATTTGGTTTTCAATATAGTTATGACCTCCTGTATCACATTTTAAAGTCCACTATATTGTGGTCACCTACATGATTCTGCGCTATTTAATTCTCCTCTCTGATCCAATAGCAAATCTTCCCTTTTTTCAAGAGTTGGAAAGGAGTCTGTATGTATTATAGGAATTCCATTCAATTCTCCCTTTCATCTACCTCTTCTGTCCAGTTAATGTGAAGGTAGTTGAAATCCCTCATTATTGCATTTCTTTTCAAACTCCATTCCCTAACATGTCTGCATATTTTTCCTCAACCTCACTTTTACAATTCGATGGTCTGTAGAGTACGCAACTACTGCAATTGAACCTTTCATTATCTTTTATTCTTATCCATATTGGTTATGAAAGTGGCAGCAAGAGTAGGCCATCCATCTTTTCGAGCCTGCTTCACTATTCTAGATCGTGGCTGATCATCTGCCTCGCTGTTATATCCCTCTGTTCCCATATCCATTATGTCATGAACTAGAAGTCAGTCAATCTCTGTCTTGACTTAATAAGAGCTTCCATGTCCCCTAAGACAGAATAAGACACCCTCTGAATGAAGAAGTTCCTCCTCCTTGTGCTAAATGACTTGCCTTTTATTCTGTTCTCCACTCTGATTCTAGACTTCACAGCCAGGGTTTATTCTTAAGAATTTTCTAAGTTTCTGAGATTGCCTGTCATGTTTCTAACCTCAATACAGGACTATACTCCTGAATTTCTTGAGGGCAGACCTGCCATCTTCAGAACCAGCCTGGTATACATCACCAGCAGTCTGCACAGTTGCATCCCTTTTTACTAATTGTGGTTATTTTATCCTGAATAAGTATAACTGCTCCATCTTCTCCTTTCTTACCCCTTTTTTTTGTTTTGACATCCTGTTTTACCCTTCAAGTTTAATTCCTGGTCCTGATTTGTCTGCAGCCACAACTTGGTAGTTAATACAATGTCTAGTTTGCACAATGCATACTTGCCTTCAGTTTCCCTGTTTTGTATGGCCACTGTCTGTATAGACATCTTGACTCACTTTTAATGATTCTACTCATTTGTACGGTTAACCATCCTTCAAACTCCTGTTTTATAACTCTTTCCTCTAAGAGTTTAATGTTGTCCTGCTGTTTTAGGAGCTATGTTTTAATAGCCGGTATATTGCAGGGCATTTGCTCGACGCCAGCAACAGTTGAATGCCATGAAAGTGATACAGAGGAACTGTGCTGCTTACCTGAAACTGCGTAATTGGCAGTGGTGGAGACTGTTCACAAAGGCAAGTATGATGTCAACCCCTGAGGTGGGGGCAGCAAAATTCCTTGACTTAAAAGTTGTTTGTAAGCTCTTCTCCTTTATCGTGGATATTAATGTGTAGTAATTAGTGACTTTCCATGACCAGTGAATACTCTATTAAAAGTACTGGAAATGCCCAGCAAGGTCAGCAGTATCTGAGAAGAAAAACAAGGGTAACATTTCAGGTTTATAGTGCTCTTCTCAAATGTTGGGACTATTGAGAGAAGTCTTTCATATGAGGCATGGTACAGTCAGCACTTTATCTTCTAAAAGTAGCTGATGCAAAACTTGCATGCCATAGAAGAGACAGATGTTAAGGTAGTAATTGATAAAAGATGATGGAATAGAATTCTCATGAAATCACTCCTTAGGCTTCAATTTGAAATACTTTGGACAATTCTGATCACTGTAGTTTAGGAAAAATGTCGATAGTTTAGAAAGGATGCAGAAGACATTTCCTAGGGGTAAAGACCTGCAGTTATGGGAAGTTAAAGTTAGGACTCCTCTTGGGACAAGAAGGTTGAGTTGACAGAGGTTTTCATGATAAGTTTACATAGGTTAAAAGGAATGCTATATTCCATCTGGCAACCAATCAATAACTAGAGGTTATAAACTCAATAATTGGCAAAATGTTGAATCGGGGGAGAGAAGAGATGAAAACTGTAAGAACTTGCTGAGGTTTGGAACACTTCACCTGAAAAGCTAGTGAAAGCTTATTCTATAAATAATTCTGAAAGGTAGCTCGACAGGCTCTTAAGGATGAGAAACTTTGAGGATTACGGACAAAAAGCGGGGATTTTGGAGTAACCCAATTAAAGACCAAGGGCTGATATGACTGGCCAAATATGTTATAATTTTCAGTGGTTCCGTGAATTCTGCAGGCAAGGTGGCCAGAAACAGAGGTTTTACTGTTGTATCCATCCATTTCTTGCTTTTAGATGGCTTTTTTGAACATTTCATTCAGCATTTCAGTCCACGTATGTCACCAATTGTATCTTGAAAATGGACAATAACTAATTCAACTAAGAACGATCCATTCAGAATTTTGAAAGATTTAAGATTTTTGCTAAATCACTATCTTGCCATAACTTAACTAGATATGGTTTATGCTGTCATGTGAAACAACTGTGATCTATTACCCTGAATTGTTATCCTTTTATGTCTGTATACAAGCATTTTTTAATTAATCTGAGAAATTATCTATTGGATTGTTCCTTCTAACTACTACTGTTAATGCACAGGTGAAGCCATTGCTTCAGGTGAGTCGACAAGAGGAGGAAATGATTGCCAAAGAGGATGAGTTGATGAAAACTAAGGAGAAACACTTGCAAGCAGAGAAGAGATTGTCTGAACTGGAGGAGCAACAGACCCAGGTGAATACTTTCTGTCATAAGGATATATGTTCCTTATGCCCTGTATTAGTAGCTTCATGTAACAGTGAAATAAAATATTTGCAAACAGAACTGCATGAAACAGGGCCCTTTTGTGATATCACTTGGAGTGCACTGATTTCACTGGAAGGGGGTGGTCGGAGAGCAATTTCACTGGAGTAGTTCCTCTGTTTAAATTATTCTAGTATTAGTTGAATAAAATTCAACCTAATGGTGGTGGATCTTGTAGCATTGTTTTATAAATTTAAATTAATTGGACAATATATGGGGAATGTTCAAGTTTGTAAAACATCTGCGTTCAGGTCTGCTTCATCACTTGTGACGCAATTTGCTTCTCTAGATTTAATCAATTATATATTTTGCATCCTCCGACCTTTCATGACCTTTTTGAAAGAAACTCGTTTATTTCTCTATACTCTGTTCAAAATTTACCCATTTTGTTTGCAAATTAATAACCATTGGAATTGAAATGTTAATGGAATTTTGATGTGGCTGACATAGATTAAGCTGATTTAAAATGATCAGTTTTTGTGGTGAGTTATTGCTAATTGGGATAATTTCAAGGGAACTGAAATGTGAACGGATGAGTACATATTGAAAACCAGGTCCTGCGAAGACTTGATTGCCCATGTAATCTATGCTGTACAGTGTCCCTGTGCACTTTAAGACTAGCTACACTGCAAAGAATAAGAGGAGTACTAGGCTATTTCAAAACTAATCTGCGGTGTCATCTAGATTTGGCCAACCCTGGGGAGGAAGCATTAAAGTATTCCAAGTTTGTAATTGAGTCTTGAATTGAGTGGTTCTTGGACTGGCTTGAAGTTTCATCCGCACTGTTCACTGGGAACATTCCTACTTGACCTGACTGGAGAAATCTATGGTATTTGCGTTGACAAGAAAATTATTTTTAACTTTGGGTAATATTTTGGTCAGAACACGTTTCTCCTCATAATGCAAACACATTCACTCCCCACGTTTCTTTAATTTAGCCCCTCTTGTGGAGATCATCGTCTGCGTTTGCTATTTAAATTCTCATACTTATGTCAACTTGCCAATTGTCTTGCAGTTGTTGTCTGAGAAGTCTGCTCTGCAGGAGCAGCTACAGGCTGAGACTGAGCTCTGTGCTGAGGCAGAGGAGATGAGGGCACGACTTGCAGCTAAGAAGCAGGAGCTGGAAGAGATCCTTCATGATCTGGAAGCACGAGTGGAGGAGGAGGAGGAACACTGTCAGCAGCTAATAACCGATAAGAAGAAAATGCAACAAACCATCCAGGTAAAGTTCTGTATCTCGAAGGGTATGCTGGGCTGTTAGAATTGCTGGGTTGAATCACCTCCATCCAACCCAAGAAGATTTGAGGGGACGAAATATCAGTTTCTTTTTTTTTTTATAAACCTTCATAGAAGGTGCTAGTTACTTTGGTTTGAGAATGTGTGCGTTGTTTGTTTGTTTAGTCCATTAGATATTAAACCACCTTGAAAAAACAAGTTTAACTTAGAATGTCAGCATGCACTGGGATTTTGTCTGATAATGGGAGCTGATTGCAAGCCATTGTCAAAGCAACCACTGTTAATCAATTGTTGCAAGAGCTGGTTGATCAAACCGTGAGCTTGTTGCAGGAACTGAAACAACATCATTTAACTGTTGGCAGTATCTCCATACTGACTTAAATTGTACACTATGAAGGTACAAAAATTGACAAAAAGGTGAAGAAGGGTCCTGACCCAAAACATCAACTTTCCTACTCTGATGCTGCCTGACCTGTGTTCCTCCAGCTCCACACTGTGTTGTCTCTGACTCCAGCATCTGTAGTCCTTGCTATCCCCGGGGGGAAAGAAATTATCTACTGGTCCAGCCAGATTGTCCCATGCCTGTGTGTGTCACAATACATGCACCCCTCTGTTCCTACCACACAAGAAAGCTGTATAATTTCCTAGGAAAGGCAAAATAACATCAGTTAAAAGAATCTAAATTCTATAATATCCCCTTCTTGTTCAATAGACAATGAAATCTGGAACAGGAAAATTGCTTTGACTCTGATTTTTATGCAATACCTACTTATGAGGTGATCTCTGTTTGAACTTGAAAATGGTTTAGCTCTAAAACACAATCAGAAATAGCTGGAGAAACTCAGCAGGTCTGGCAGCATATGTGAAGAAAAAGCTGTTCCAAAGAAGGGTCGCTGAACTTGAAACATGGACTCTGTTTTCTGTCTACAAGTGCTGCCAGACCTGCTGAGTTTCTCCACCTATTTCTGTTTTAGTGTCAAATTTCCAGCATACACAATTTTTTTTTTGTTTACTGGCTCAGTTCTGTCTTGAATGATGCCCATGTATTCGATGTTCTATGTTGTACAAGCTGGCATGCTCCATGAGTCCACCGTTCGGATAAGAAGTGTTTCTAACAGCTAAACTAATTCAGTTTTTTAGATAAGCTGAGAATGAGTGATCGGATTTAGCTTCAATGTTTTTTGCCTTCTGGCTAATAGTGAGTGATGATATGGATTCTCCCCTGTTTCACTGGGCAAGTGCCTAGGAAGTCTGAAATGTTGGTTAATGTTCACTGAACAACCTGTCCGTTATGTTTAATCAAGTGAGGTTTGTGCAGAGTCATACCCTAATCTGGGGCAATGTGCAACCCAAGTGCAGGAACTGAAAGGATAGGAGTTTCTATTTTGGAGTTGTCCTTCTCCCGGTTTAGCTGCTAAACAAACTAGAGTGCCACTTCTGCCTTTTCTACATTACCATCCACCCTGAGTTCTTCCACATGGTCGGTCAGTAAAGGCTAATTGGTCAGTGGCTGGGATTTGAAATTAGATTTTTCCTTCTGCTAGGAAGGCTGCAGATAAAGTCAGTCAGTAGGAATTTGATTAAGGATGGCTATTTAAAACACTGATTATTTGGAACTTATGACAAGCTTATCAATTCTTCATTCTGGCCCTTCGTAAGCGTTTGATCACTCTAGTGATTTATGCATAACCTACGGCTTATCAAGTATACTGTGAAATAGATTTGTAGACTGGAAAAAGAACAGTGATTCCTTGACTGTATACTCTTGATCCGTCATTCACATTTTACACTGACAACGATACGGTTGATCTAGAGAAAGTGGTTGAACTCCCCAGGTTAAACCTGCAAGATACCTGGTTGTAAGGAAAGAAAAAGGTTCAGTTGTGCTTTTAGGAGGAATTATTTGATTTGTAAGAATGTTCATGATTAATTGGGCCAATATTTCAGTTTTGTTAGCTAAAATCTTCAGTGAGGTTCGTCAAAATCAGAACATGAGTGTGGCATTTAGGAATTAAGGGCAGGCTTTGGTCTAACTATTAAATTAGACATCACTCATTCCTTGCTTGAATGTAAGTGTGACTAATGGTTTAATTTAAAATGCATTTGAAGTGTAGCAACCAAAGAACTTCATAAGTCCATAGATTTAGAGGAGGCTGGAAAGCAGGAGAATTTGTTAATAAAATTGTATCTTTTACTTGGTGGGAAGGCTGGTCCAAAAGGCTTGAGTTGGAATTTTATGGTGCTGTGAATCTGACTGTATTGCCAGTATATATAATGCCTGTTTGCTGTTCCATGTTTTTGCCAATGAATGGATATGAAGAATGTATTTGAATGCCCCAAAGCTAGGGAGGGGTTGCTTATTGTGTTTAGGGAATGGGTGATAGTAATGATCCATGTTAATTTCTGCATTTCCAGGAATTGGAGGAACAGCTAGAAGAGGAGGAGGCAACACGACAAAGGCTGCAGCTGGAAAAGAGTGCTGTTGATTCTAAGATGAAGACTATGAGTGATGAAATCTTTCTACTGGAAGATCAGAGCAATAAACTCATGAAGGTTAGTTATGTTTTAAAGTCTTTCGTTTTCCCAAACTTAACTAAGAGTTGTGAAGTATCTCCAGCAATGACTTTCATTATCTTAGTACATTTGTCCATTTTTTTAATACTCTTGTACACGTGTGGATCCATAGGAAAAAAAACTTATGGAGGAGAGGATAGCAGAGTTCACCACTAACCTGGCAGAAGAGGAGGAGAAGTCCAAAAGTCTGACCAAACTCAAGACTAAACATGAAACCATGATTACAGACCTAGAAGGTGAGGAACTGCATCAGCAGTGTGTTTATCTGCATCAGTATTGTACATGACTGTATTAATATACGTAAAAACCTGTTTTTGCAGTCTTGGTTCAATTTCATGAGTCCTAATGCTTGTCATAATTCATCTTGGACCCTGTTTAGGTGGATTGTGTTCAATCCTTTGTTTGAAATGTTTGAACTCTAGTCCTGAAGGTCATCTAAAGTATTAATTATTTTATTATGCATTTCTCAAGGTGTAGGTGTAACAGAGAAAGGATGCTGTGCATTCCCATCCCTAGGTAAACTGAGTTTTAATTTGGTGTGCAGATTAGTTGAATTGGCCGTGCTAATTTGCCTGTAGTGTCCAGGGTTGTGTAGGCTTGGAGGATTAGCCGTGGTAAATGTGGGGTTACGAGGATAGGGTATGGTGAATTTGATGGGCTGAATGGTCTCTTTCCGCACGGTAGATGCTGATTCTGTGGTTTTGTTAAAACCAAATAATTTGCTCAGGCACTTTAAAAGGATATTTCAAAATCAACCATGCTCTGTAACTCCAGTTCCACAACCTAGTAAGGACAGGAAGTTTTTCCACCCTTTAAAAAGGCATCAGTTGATAATTTTGCAGCTATCTGATGTCTGTCATTTTTACTGTACTTTACATTTTAAAACCAGAGTTAAACATGATGGGATTTCATCTTGCCTTGTCTGGATTAATAGTCCTAGCCTCTGAATTAGTAATCCAATATAATCGCTACACCACCATAATCCGTGAGTGCTTTTTCGACCTGGAGTATTCTGAAATCACTGGCTCTTTGAAGATAACCTTGAACATTTTGTGTTTGGAGGTGACAGTGAAGGAAAGTGATTTTGCTGATTCAGTTATTAGTCCTGATCAGGGTAGGAAGCTGTTCACTTACCTATCTTGCAAGTCAGTCTGCAATTTTCCCAGCATATTTTAGAAGCACTTGAAAGAGGTAAGCACCATATGAAAATTGAGAGTTTGAGTTTCACAGCTGCCAGTCGTTCCCAGACTGATGGCAAAAGTTTGCAACCTGATTAAAATGGTTTAGAGCAATGAACTGTTCTCCATTTTTGAAGGGATATGTTTTTGTAGCCTAGCATATGTTGGGTTCTTGTATTCATTTGATCAACCTTTGGTCCACAAGAAATCATTTCTGTACAGTATCCCGCTTCCAGCCTGAGCAAGATCTGTGATTTGGGATACCAATTGGTTTTGAGGGTGTATATACATAAAATCAGTGTGGCAGTATGTTTTAATTTTGACAGATCGTTTGAAGAGAGAGGAAAAGCTGCGACAAGAATTGGAGAAGAATCGCCGTAAATTGGAGGGAGACTCGTCTGATTTACATGACCAGATTTCTGAACTACAGCAACAGATTGCAGAACTCCGTACACTCTTAGCTAAGAAAGAAGAGGAGCTCCAGGCTGCACTGTCCAGGTAAAAATTGCAGTAGAATGGTAAATGGAAAAAATGGCTTTTGTCCTTCTATTAATATGTAGAAGTTATTTTGATGCAAACAACTGATTTGGAATAAGCAAGATGTTCATTGGTCGAAAAATAAACCCAAAAAGAGTCATAGATGCTGGAAATTAGAAACAAAAACAGAAATTGCTGGAAAAACTCAGCAGGTCTGACAGCATCTGTGGATGTCCAGTTCTGAAAAAGGGCCACTGGACCCGAAACGTTAACTCTGATTTCTCTCCACAGACCTGCTGAGTGTTGTTAATTCGTCATGTAACCCTGTCATTCGATTACTGGAAGCCAGTGTATTTTAGATGGGAATTGGATTTCTAAATGGTGTCATATGTATTTTCAGCTTCCTGCTTAGTGGTCTGGCCAAGGCAAACAAAAAGTCACTGCATGTGCACCTGGCAAGTATCGATGCTAGCCATTCCAGAAAGCATCTAAAGTTTTGAACTGGTTTCATATCTTCTACAGAATAGATGAAGAAGCTACACAGAAGAATATTGCCCTGAAGAAAATCCGTGAACTGGAATCTCACATTAGTGAGCTGCAGGAGGATTTAGAATCTGAGAAAGTTGCTAGAGCTAAGGCTGATAAACAGAAAAGAGATCTTGGTGAGGAGCTGGAGGCTTTGAAAACGGAACTGGAAGATACACTTGACTCTACAGCTGCCCAGCAAGAACTCAGGTAATCAGAAGAGCAATGACTACAGCCACATTTCAATGCTAGCTGTAAAATTCAATTTTAAGGAAGATCGGTGAAAGCAGAGCAGTAGAAGTTGTCTACGTGGACTTTAACAAGGCCTTTGACTAGGTTCGACATGGTAGACTGGTAAGTAAGGTTAGATCTCATGGGATGCAGGGAGATCTAGCCAATTGGATACAAAATTGGCTTGATGTTAGGAGACAGGCGGTGATGGTGGAGGGTTGTTGTTCACACTGGAGGCCTGTGGCCAGCGGTGTGGCCAGCGGTGTGCCCGCAAGGATCAGTGCTGGGTCCACTGTTGTTTGCTGTTTACTAAACAATTTGGATGACAATATGAGAAGCATGGTTAGTAAGTTTGCAGGTGGCTGCAAAATTGGTGGTGTGGTGGACAATGAAGAAGGTTATCTTAGAATACAATGGGATCCTGATCAACTGGACCACTGGACTAGGGAATGGCAGGTGGGATTTAATTCCGATAAATGCAAGTTAAGGCATACCAGGGTGGGACTTCACAGTTGATGATGGGGCCCTGGGGAGAGACACCTAGGGGTACAGGTATATAGTTCCATGAAAGTGGCATCACGGGTAGGGTGGTGAAGGCGGCATTTGGCATGCTTGCCCTCATCAGTTAGAGCATTTAGTACAGGAGTTCGGATGTCATCTTTTAGTTGTACAAGATATTGCCTTCAGATCCTGGCTTCAAGAATCCAACTGGTTCCTCATTGCGTGAGAATTAGGAGATGTTGAATCACGCCCCAATTTTTTACATCCGTAGATTTCGTGGAGTTTAAATCCCCTAAGGCTGAGTGTCTCCAGTTGTTCATCTCATTTATTTGTTTGGTGTAAATGCCCTCTGGCAGTAAATAGAAAGCGTGATGGCACTATCTGGGAGAAAGTGGGAAGAAAGATAGCTGTAGAAAGCCCCCTCCTACTGATTTAAAATCTTGCTGTGACAATATTTGAGTAGTTCTGGCCACTTGCTTTTAAAACAAAGATGTGTCTTGTGGCGAGGATCAAGTTCTTCCAGCTGTCACTAGTATTCCTCATGCAACTGGCAGGTAACTGGCACTCCCATTCCTTATGTGGGGAGATTTACCCTCTCATGCTTTTTAGGTCCAAAGTGAATGACCCATATTTTTCTCATATTTGCCTATTAACATAATCTATTGATAGATTTTTGGAATTTATTTCTCAAACTATGTTATATTATACTGCCTTCCAATATATTTATGTAATTACCAAATTTAGATGTGTGGTTGTCTAACCAATCATCTAGCTCAGCACTGAATTATTGGGGAACTAACATACAATCTTAGCCATTACTAATCACATCAACCAATTAAAGTTCTTTCACATTGTTCCTATTCTGTTTCTTCCATTTGACTGTTCCCCAACCAGGTCAATAGTTTGTCTTCAATTCTGTGAGCTTCACATCAATTGTGGTCCCTTTATGAAAGGACTTTATCAAATTCCTTCTGAAAATTCATATAAATAACATGCATAAATGCTGTCATGTCTGCCTCTTTAGTCTCCTCTTCAAACTTAAAATCAGTGGGATCTTTTTCTCCCAGTTGTGGTAATTAGCATACTGGATTGCATTTGGTATTCGTTTTAATACTATAAAAGGTGGATTTTTTTCTGTACAAATGTATTAATCATTTTGTTACTACCTTTTTTATTTGCTCTCTCCCTCCATTTATAATTATTAAAGAGCAAAGCGGGAGCAAGAAGTGAGTCAGATGAAGAGAGCCCTGGAAGATGAAGCAAAGACCCATGAATTGCAGATCCAGGAAATGAGACAAAAACACTCCCAGGTTGTGGAAGATCTGTCTGAGCAATTAGAACAGACAAAAAGGGTATGTTAATTTCTTTATTGGTGAGAATTTTGGAGTTTGGAGGAGCTGTATCTGAGGAATAACTCCTTGGATGCTGAAGCAGTCCATGTACAAATGCTGCAAGACCTGGACAATATCCAGGTTTGGGCTCATGAGTAGCAAGTAACATTGCCTGATACATTGTGTCAATGGCAATCTACAACAAGAGAGAATCTAGTTGTTGCTCCCTGACATTCAATAGTATCACCATCACGGAATACCCCACCATCAACATCCTGGGGTTATCATTGACCAGAAACTGAAGTGGACTAGTCACAAGTACTGTGACTACAAGAACATGCCAGAGGCTAGGAAGCTTTGTAGTGAGTAACTTGTCGTCTTACTCCGTAATGCCTTATCACCATCTAAAAGCACAAATCAGGAGCATGTTAAGAATGCTTGCCACTTATCTGTATGAGTGCAGTGCTCAAGCCTGACACCATCCAGGACAAAGAAGTCTGTTTGATTGGTACCATATCCGCAAATACCTAATCTTTCTTCCACTGACACTCAGTAGCAGCAATGTATACCGTCTACAAGATGCACTGTAGAAGTTCACCAAGCCTCCTTCCAAGCCAATGAACACTATCAGACACACTGGAACACCTGCTGCAAATTCTCCTCCAAGCCACTTACCATCCAGACTTGGAAATGTATCACTGTTCCTATAGTGTCACTGAGTCAACATCCTGGAATTCCCTCCCTAACAGCATCATGGGTGTACCCACCAAGTAGACTGCAGCAGCTTAAGAAGGCAGATCACCACCACCTTGAGGCCATCAGGAGTGGCAATAAATGCTGGCACATCCCAAATTGCCCTAGAACTGAGTGGCAAGCTTGGTGATTTCAGAGGATGACTGCGTAAACTGTGTTAATTTGGTCTGGGGTCATAATAAGGCTAGATCAGGTCAGGATCAGAGATTTTGTTCCCTTAAGGTCATTAATGAACCAGATGGGTTTTTACAAAAATCAATAGTTGCATGGTCACCACACTACTGAGATGAGCTTTCAAATACAATTTTTTCTCATTTATTGAATTTAAATTTGATTTAAACCAAAGTCCAATTGTTTTAAACTCATGTTTTGTCCAAAATGGGTAAAATCAGTATTAATGGTACACATATTCCTCAATCAGGAATATCTAGTGGAACAAACTACCTAACAATTGTGTAGTAACAATGTTGTCAAGACTCTGATAGAACTCAGTACGGTAGGAACAACAAAAGTGGCCTAAATAGATTCATGCACAACTGTGAATAATTCTTTTTGTATAATATACAAACTGGCCCTAAACTGACATCCAGAAAATATCTGGATAGGAGATCCAATGTTGCTGGACTCAAAGATCCTGAGAAGAAAGATCTACTTGGCAGCACGTCACGGCTAACCTGGCAAAGACTAATGTTTTGGGATGATTGGGAATTGTTCAACCTTTGCCTGCAGACCAGAACCAAAACCTCCTGCCATCGAACTGCAGTATGCAGATGACAGCTGCGTGTTCTCGCACTCCAAGAGGCTGATCTACTAACCATCATCGATTAGGGCATATTGAGAATGGCCCTCAGATTAAACGTCTGGAAAACCAATGCTCTTTACCAGCTCACTTGTGCTACACAACACTGTCCCTGACCATCAAAATCCATGGTGAACCCCTGGACATTACGGATTATTTCCCATATCTTGGATGCCTCCTTTCAGTGTGAACAGATAGTGACAATGAAATCGAACATCGATGCCAATATGTCAGCACAGCCTTCGGATGTAAGAGAAACAGTTTGAAGTCCGACACTTCAAGCCCAGCACAAAGCTTAATTTGTCATTTTCTGAAATTTAGATTTTAAAATTACTTTGATTTGTGCAAAATAACATGAAAGTTGCATGGCGTTAGTTGTATTTGAGTTATGTGCAGTTCTGTTTTTAATTCTTCCAGAAATGTGGTACAGATTTAAAGCAATTACTGTCCTACTTCATTATTCACATATCCTTTCCTTCTGCCTTGCAGATCTATCTAATAAACTTACACAATATACAGAACTGAAATGGGTCCCCTTTGCTCATTTATCTTATCTCATCCTTTCACCGTATCTTTTTACTCCGTTTTCTCTTGAACTTGTCTAGTTTCCTTGCAGATTTATCTAAACTGTTTACTTAAATCACTTGTTGTGATAGCAAGCTGTATATTTTAGCCATGTTTCAGGAAATTTCTGTCTACACCCTATTGACTTTATTCTTAACTATCCTATATTTATTGTTTTGGATTCTCCCACAAGTGAAAACCTGTTCTCCATAGCTACCCTTTCTAACCTATCCATAAATTTGTCAGGTCTCGATCTTTCTTAATAACTATATTCTCTCAGTTCTGATACCATTCTTATGAATGGTTTTGCATCATCACAGGTGTTTCTATACGCGATTTACAGAAGTATCCTGAACTGTGCACAGGACTTGTGTGGCATGGAAGATGAAGAATACATAAAAAAATTTAACTTGCAGTGGTGTAGAATAACAATAGTCAACACACTGAATATTGATCCAATTAAGTGGGTGTTGTAATTTTTGGGCCTTGCAGTGAGCTAAGTTTTGACCGACCTAAACTGACTCTGCTACTCTCTACAGTTCAAAACTGGACTGGAGAAAGCCAAACAGGCCCTGGAGAATGAACGCAATGAGATTAGCACTGAAGTGAAGCGTCTGATGCAGGCTAAAGCTGAATCTGAGCACAAGCGGAAGAAGGTGGAGACCCAATTGCAGGAGCTCCAGGTTAAAAATACAGATGGGGATCGGTCTCGAACTGAACTCGCTGAGAAAGTTAGCAAGTTACAGGTAAATGCACAAGCAAGGTGTTGCTGCTACTTGGTGAAATTAGATTAGTGTATTCTAATGATTAAGTTTCTTACTCTATAAATGTATTTATGATACCATCAAGTATATTTGTCATCAATATTGTTTGAAAATCCCAAGACCTTTTTCTTGTCTACATTTGCTCCATTCCATAATCAAGCAAGCCACCCCCAGTATCTAATGATACCACTGGAGAGTTGGCTGCAAAAAAGCAATGTGGGTTTTTGTGCCAGAATTTACCCTTCTTTAGAAACCTTGGATTTGCACACAGTCTGTCATCTTCTCCAGGGCATCAGTGAGATCCCAACATACATTTATGGAATGGCAAGAGCTAACTGAATTCAGTGAATCAGCATGATGACAACTGTGTGGCGTTGATCCTGCTTTATAGGATTTTCTTTTAAATTATCAATTGTATTGGTTGACAGTGTCTTGACTAGCTTTCCTTTTGCCCACCATGCTCCCCATTTCCCCCCCTTTCAATTGAAATGTCATGAGCAGGAGCCCAATGCTAGCTTGCCCAAATGTCTATTGCTGTGTGACCCTAAGAAATGACCGGTTGGTGGTTTGAGATTGACTCAGCACAGAGGTGCAGATGTTACAAATGGTTTCCTCATAATTCAGAAATGCTGAAATTAAACTCGGATCTCTAGCACCTGCAGTTCTGAACAAACAAAACCAAAAGTGCTGGAGAAACTCAGCAGAGCTGAGTGGAGAGAAACAGTTGACATTTTGATGCCAGTGACTCCTCTTCACAACTAGAAGCAGCAAGGAAAATGTGGACTTTTTATTGATGGTTGGACAGGTGGACAAAAGAAGTGAATGGCAAGATGGACATGGAGACCAGAGAGAGAAAAAAGAATGGTAGGTTAAGGGAATGTTGATAGTAAGCCAGGGAAGAGGAGGAACTATACGGGTAATAATGGGGACTGAGTAGTTGAAAATAGATTGCCAGTGCTGAAAGCAACCCATTTCATGATGGTACCTGCAGTTATGGGAATAGGCGACAGGCAATAGACATAGGTGGTGTTCATGCTAGGTAAGTGTTGAACTTGATGTTAAATCAAAAGTATATAAGGTATCATTGTAAAAAATGAGGTATTGTTTCTCCAATTTGCATTGAGCCTGGATGGAGCTCTGCAGCAGACCTGAGACAAAATATTGGCATGGGAACATTTGGTATGTTGAAGCGGTACACAGCTCTGTTCCCTCACTCATTCTAACCTGTTTCCAACTGAACTAACTACAGTCTGCTCTCAGATCTAACCCTGACTTTATAATCCGATCTGGTGGTGCTGTAGTTATCTGGTGTACTGACATCTACGTGTGAAGTCTGAGCATTAGCACATGGCCTCCAATCTCAACCCCAGACCGTGACTCTACCATTGAACATCATGCTGTGTCCCTGACTGTCATGAACCTCGTTTCATCTGGGCTGTTCCCTTCCCAACAATCCCTGAACTCATAGTCCCCCTACGCTATACAGTCACTTCTGCCACCTTCCCAAAATCCATGAACAGAACTGCCTGGGTCAACTGATTATTTCTACCTGTTCTGGTCCCGTGGAACTTATTTTTTCTATCTGGACTTTTTTTTTTCTCCCCAGTGTCCAATTTCTTCCCACTTGCTTCTGATTGTGGCGCTTTACATCAGTTTCCAGTTTACAGGTACTTTACCATAGGTGTGTAATCCTTTTGCATGTCCAATCCCATCAGGATGGTCTTGGGGTTCTCCACTTATTCCTAGAAAGAGAGCCTGAACTATATCGAAACAAGTACCACCCTCCTCTGATGGCCGAGCTCATCCTAACTTGACATCGCCTCCTTTAAATCTTCTCGCTGTTTTCAAATAAAAGGTGTTGCTGAGTTACCCGCATGGACCCTAGTTACGCCTGTCTCTTTGTGGGTATGGAAGTCATTCCTTGTTCCAGACCTCCTAGGGTGTTTCCCCACAACTATTTCTCAGGTACATCAATGACATCATTGGTGCTACTTGCCCCTGGAATTGGATAAACTTATCAAGTTTGCTTCCAACTTCCATTCTTCTCTCTCCTTTACCTGGTCCGCCCCTGACTCTCACCTTCCCTTTTCTCAACACTCCTGTTAGCCGAGCAACCAATATCCATTACGCACACTCTAACTCCCACAGTTACATTGACTATATGTACTTTCACCCTGCTTCTTGGAAGTACTCTATTCCATTCTCCTGGTTTCTCCATCACACTTTTTCTGATGCTCCCTACTGCAGGGGGGCCTCTGACATGCCCACATTTTGCCTCAACTGAACATTCCCTGCAACCATTGTTGACAGGGCCTTCAACTTTGTTTGACCCATTTCCTGAACTGCTGCCCTCACCCTTTCTCATCCCTTATCTTCCACAGTAACAATAGGGTCCTTCTTGCCTCACGACCCACCCTCCTATCACCCGCATCCAATTATAATAAATCGTCATTTCCCCACCTCCAGAGGGATGTCACCACCCCCAGAGACACATTTCAACGACCACCACCACCCCACCGCCTCCCGTCAACTTTGTCAGGACCATTCCCTCCAGGACAACCTAGTCCATTCCCAACACAACCTCATGTTCCTGCAGCACCTTCCCATAATCATCACAAAGTGTGCAACACTTGCCGATTTACCTCCTCCCTCCTCGCTATTTAGGGCCTCAGACACACCACCTTCCATCGGAGGAGCATTTTACCTGTACTTCGTTCGGTCAAGTGTACTGCATTTGTTCCTCTAGGCTGGGGAGACAAAACGCAGGCTGGATGATCGCTTTGCAGAACACTCTTTCCTGTCCATAGAAATGACTAAGCTTCTAGTTGCCAGCCACTTCAATGCACAATCATGTTCCACTGCCAACATTTCTGACTCTGGTTTAACAAAGCTGGAGCAACAACACCTCACCTACTCGGATTCTGTTATCACCTCTCTACTTTCTCTTCAATGGAGTACTATCAACAGTCTTCTTCGTAGGATCATAGAATCCCTACACTGTTGGAGCAGGCAAATTGGCCCATCAAGTCCACACCAACTGTCCAAAGAGTATCCCACCCATCCCCATAACTCCACATTTACCCTGGCTAATCCACCTATCCTGCACATCTTTGGACAGTGAGAGGAAATCAGAACACCCAGAGGAAAACAACGCAGATGCGGGGAGAACGTGCAAACTCCAGACAGACAGTCGCCCCAGGGTGGAATCAAATCCAGGTCCTTGGCGCTGTGAGGCAGCTAACAACTGTGGCGCTGTGCACCCAAACTGTACGACTACCTGTTTTTTTTCTCTTTGAGGTCTGTCCCCACCACGTCCACCCTCCCAAAAAAAAATCGGCATGAATGCCACCTTTTCCTAGCTGCCTCTAGTTCTGAAGATGGGTTGCTGGCCTCAATGTTAACTGTTTGCTGTCCACAAATGCTGCCAGACCTGTTGAGTTTCTCTAGCAATTTGTTTTTTTTTGTTTCAGAAATTTTGAAGCTAGTTGTAGAACTCGGACCTCTCATGTCACCCATGCAGGTAGTGGATAGAATATGGAGCTCAAATTCATGTCGGTGTAGCTTACATATCCATATCTGTTGCAAATGCTATTCAAAAATGCAAATTATTGATCGCTGTAATGAAAGTAGTATGATTATTTCTTTCCTTAGGAAGAGAATTGAGCATAGTTTTGACGTATTATTCAACTTGCTGTTCTTCAGACCCACAGTTTGAGATGATTGACGAAGTTACTATTGAATATGCTTCACAATTTAGAGACCAATGCTGCTTTTTGTCTTTCTTAGCAATAGTTTGCGTTGGTAGCTTTTCCCATACTTATTTAGCTATAGAAGGTGGTTGAGATTTGGAAAGCATTAGAGGTCTGGAAGCAAACAAACTACACATGGGGATAGCAAGAACTGCAGATGCTGGAGTCAGATAACAAAGCAGCAGGCCAGGCAGCATCAGAGAAACGGGAAAGTTGACGTTTCGGCTCGGGACCCTTCACATCTTCAAACGTCAACTTTCCTGCTCCTCTGATGCTGCCTGGTCTGCTGTGGTCCTCAAACTACACACGAAAATGGAATCTAAAATAGTGATCAGACACCCTAGTTCCAAGGTTGGGATTTAATATTTGTTCATAATTCTTGCTGTTACGAGGAATACCTCGTGACTGAAATGTTTTTTGTGTTCAGAGTGAGTTGGACAATGTTACTTCCCTGATGAGTCAGGCGGAAAGCAAGGCCATTAAACTAACCAAGGACCACAGCACCCTGGAATCCCAGCTACAGGACGCACAGGTATGAGAGGCAGAACTGATTTGAATGATTTTGTGAAAAGCCCTTGCTTAACACACTTATTCTGCAATCGTGCATCTAGAAGCTCCATGAAAAGGTGAAAAGAGGTTGAAGAAAACACCTTCAAAGTGGCAAAGATTAGTGGTAAACCAGAGAACTGGGAAAGTTTTTTTAAGCCAACAAAAGATGACCAAAAGAAATGGAGAAAGTAAACAATAAGGCTAATTAAGCAAATAACATAAGAATGAACAATAAGAGCTTCTTTATTATATAAAATGGAACAGAGACCACGGTGAACATAAGCACTTTAGTAAACCAGGCTGGGTAAATAATAATGGGGAGCCAGGAAATGGCAGAAGAGTTGAATAAATACTTTTCATCAGTCTTCTTGGTAGAAGGCAGTAATAACTTTCCAAAAATATTAAGGGCCTAGAAGGGGGTTGGAAATATACAGAACTATCACTAAAGAAGAATTGCTAGGGAAACTAATTGGGCTAAAGACCAATAAATTGCCTTGATCTGATGAGTTGCAGCCTCCTATTTTAAAAGATATAGCTACAGAGATGGTGGATGTAGTAACAGTGGTAGTAATCTTCCAAGAATCCTTAGATTATGATTTAATGCCAGAGGATTTGAAAATGTAACCCCTTCCTCAAAAAAGATGGAGACAAAAACAGGCAACTATAGGCCAGTTAGCTTAATGTGTATTATTGGGAAAATGTCAGTCTAGCAGAGTGGAAAGAATTGATGGGTATTTGACTGGAGAAGGCAAAAGTAAAAAGGTGCAGAATGGAGAAATAGGATAGGAATGTAGACTCAACTGGTGCAAGGAAAAGCTACTTTAAAAGCTTTGTGAAAAGTTGCACTAAATTTAGCGTAGATCTTTGGATAGCCTGATTTCCAGTTTGTGATGGAATGAAACCATGTTGAAATGAAATCTAATAGTTAAAAATTTCTCCAATGCGGATAACTGAATACAAATTTGATGTGTGAAGCATCATATCTACGATTACATATTTTGTGTGGTGTTATTTGCTGCTCCATATCCTTGCTCTGTTTTGCTGCATTCACCCATGACGTGTTAAAACCTTCTCATCCCTGTACAGGAACTGCTTCAAGAGGAGACACGACAGAAGTTGGCTTTTAGTACCAAGTTGAGACACGTGGAAGATGAGAACAGTCGCCTCCAAGAGCAGCTTGAAGAGGAAGAAGAAGCAAAGAGAAACCTGGAGAAACAGATTGCCAGCATCCACACTCAAGTAAAATGCCTCCGAACACTTCTGTTCTATTTTGGTTATGTATATGCTCCTGCTGTAAGCCCTTCTGTCCCTTCTCCGCGTCTACTGCCACTGTGACACAGTATGACGGAAGCTCCTAGAGAAGACAAATTTCAACACCTATCATAAATATGATCTTAGGCGTAGGACAGTTAAAATAATGTGCTTTAAATTGTTCTATTGTTCTATCCACATCCTCATTTTGGAGAAGTTGGAATAAGCAATTGACTTTGGTGCATAACTATCCACTACAGTTTTTCACCTTGCAGTTCAAACTTTAGTTTTGTTGGTGTAGTTGTCTGTCTTGTGTTTGAAGTTGGCAAAATTGAAAGGGATTTATTCATTATGATGTTTTTTGTAGAATGTTTAAAGGTTTAAGCTTTCAGCTTGTATAATTACCAAAATGCACAAAGTATTCCCTTATTGCAAAATTATAATCAGTCTGGGCAATGCTAGGGACATTTTTATATACTTAATTGATTACTTTGAGATTTTCATTTACATTTTTCACATCATTTGGTCATCTGGCTTTACATGCCACATGTGTATACTAGTAAACCATTTTTTCACCATGCACTATTAAAAATTGTGTTGAACAGATTTGAGCTATAATAATCAATATGCACAGGTAGAATACATTATAGTTGAATTTTTATTCATTAGTGAATATTTCAGTTAGCAGAGTCTAAGAAGCGCCAGGAAGATGGGAATGCATCACTGGAACTTGCCGAGGAAGGTAAGAGAAAGCTACAAAAAGATATGGAAGTCTTGACTCAGCGTTATGAAGAGAAAACAGCTGCCTATGACAAATTAGAAAAGACCAAGAACCGTCTGCAGCAGGAGCTGGATGATCTGATTGTGGGTCTGGACCACCAAAGGCAGGCTGTTTCCAATCTTGAGAAGAAACAAAAGAAATTTGACCAGGTGAGAATTGATCCAAAGTCTGTCATTTGGCTTTTAAACCAGTCAATGTTTAGTTATCCTAATGACGTATACATTCAGGACTTATTGCAAAAATGAAATATTCAAAAATTAAACTATGGTGCATATTTAAGGTATCTAAAGGAACCAATTCAGCATCTGTGTTTTTAATTCTAGAGGTTGAAACGAACCTTTCCTATAACTAGTAAAATTTTGGTCTGAAATTTGAGGTTTATTGAAGTTGTAAAATCCAAACCAATATTCGTGATTTTATTTGTCAGCAGTAACTATGTACAAAAACAAAATTCGTGATCTAGTTTACTTGTGGACAATGTGTAAACTTGCCATTTAGCAGAAACTTGGAATCAATAGTGTCTAGTGCTAGAAAGGAGTCAGAAAATAATGACTTCCGACTCTGGATGTAGTTATCCTTCAAGATTCAATTATATTGTACCAAGAATGGTACATTTGAACATGATACATCAATTCTAAGATAATCAACTTTGGCTTTTATCTTGTCTAACCTTGAAACTTATTAATATTTGGGTTAATGCAAGAATATTCTCAAAAGTATTACATGAATAGCTTGAGCTGTGCACTTACCCTTTATCTTAAAAAAAATTTAGTGCAATCCTATTAAATGGGTCACATTTTTCTGTTTCAGATGCTGACTGAAGAAAAGAACATCTCCTTAAAGAACGCAGAGGAACGGGATCGTGCACAGGCAGAAGCACGGGAGAAAGAGACCAAAACTTTGTCACTGACTCGTGCCTTGGAGACAGCTATGGAGCAGAAAGAAGAGATGGAGAAAATGAGCAAGCTGCTGCGTGCAGAGATGGAAGACCTTGTTAGCTCCAAGGATGATGCAGGAAAGAATGTAAGTCAATGCCCCCAGGGTTTAGGGATCTGCCCTTTTTCAGTTTCCTCCTTCCCCAGTACAGATCCACAGCACTTCGGTACTTTTATATAACTATGCTTCAAATCAGGCTACTCAACTATCATTTGATTTCACAACCAGTCTTGATCATCATCTCGCATCTTGCCTACCCCTCACACGCATGCTTTCTTCGAGAGGTGGCTTAGCAATGATCGAGGTTAACCTCCCAGTTGTGTTTTCTTACACCGGGCAAGAAAATTGAGACCAACTGTTGCTATTAACTGTGGTCTCCTAAATCGGTGAAAATCTCAAATCAATACAAAGACCTTCTGGTTTCTGCAGCTTAGGGCTACTTTCAGGGAGCTCTGGAACCAACTCAAGCATGAAATCCACCGTTTAGTATGAATACACTTTATTTTTGATCTCTTAATGTGGTGCTTGTTAGGTTACTGTGGAAAATTGTCTCCCCAGTACCGTCCAAGTGGAGTGGGAGTCATGTAAATGGCCACGTTTCATGTGTTACTAATCTTGTTGAAAGGGAGCTTGTTTTAACAATATCTGATCTTCTGTTGCTGTGATGGAAAGACACTGTTGTAAATCTACAGTAAGTTACATTGTTTTATTTATTTGTGTGCAGGTGCATGAGCTGGAAAAGTCAAAACGTGCTCTGGAGCAGCAGGTGGAAGAGATGAAAACTCAACTGGAAGAGCTGGAGGATGAGCTCCAAGCCACTGAAGATGCTAAGCTACGACTGGAAGTAAACCTGCAAGCCATGAAAACTCAGTTTGACAGGGACCTGCTGAGTAAGGACGAGCAGAGTGAGGAAAAGAGGAGACAGCTAATTAAGCAGGCAAGTACACTCGACTCAACTCAGAATACATCAGAGCTTAAGTATTTTTAATCAACCTGTTCAGGATGATATGACACACCTCTGGAACAGGCTGGACAGATGTTAAGACTGTATCATTAAGAAGTGAATATCATAAGTTTAAGTTCTAAGAAAAGATGGGGAAAGAACAGACTTTCTAATACCTAATTGAAGTTTTTATCTTAAATTGATGAAGCTGATCTAGGAACTTCATTCACTGTGGCTAGTTGAACTATACCTAATGGCTTTGTCCTGTTCCTTGTCCGTCTTTAAGTGGGTTTAGTGGAAGTGATCATTTTTAGTTGATTAGTACGCTTTTAATGAACGTACCATTTAGAAAGAAAGATCATAAGTATCTTAATTACTGCTAATATTTTCCAGGTTCGTGAAATGGAGAGTGAACTGGAAGACGAGCGGAAGCAGCGTTCCATAGCCATTACCGCCAAGAAGAAGCTGGAAATGGATTTGAAGGATTTGGAGGGACAAATCGAAACATCAAACAAAGGTCGTGATGAAGCCTTGAAGCAGTTCCGCAAACTACAAGTAAGCTTTGGCATTTAACATGGGCGTATGATAGAACACTCAGCACTGGTTTCTGTGGCCAGATCACTGCTCGTTTTGAAATTTCATGAAGGATGCTCGGCATCAGTCCTCAGTAGTGCAGTGAATTAGGAAATGTTACCATTCTCCCTTTACTGGCTTGCATGTGACTTCAGGCTCATATCAATATGGTTGACTTTACCCTCGAAATGGCCTAGCAAGACCAAGTTGCATCGACCTAGGGACTGAAAATGACATGCAGATGCAGCCCTTTGACTCTGCAAAGTTCTATTTACTTACCAACATCTGGGGATATGAACCAAATCTGGGAGAGCTGTCTCAGACTAGTCAAGCAACAGCTTGACCTAGTCATGCTCACAGAATCAGAATAGTGTCCCTCCCATCAACAGGACAGACCCTCTGCAGGTGGCAGAACAGTGATATACAGTTAGAAGTTGCCCTGTTAGTCCTTAACATAGACTCCACAAAGTCTCATGGCATTGGGTCAAACAGTTGCAAGGAAATCACCTAACTACCATGCAGTCAAGTGCCCTTCCCAACCCCCACCCATGGACATCTGTGATGCACTGTGGGCCCATCAGTAGAAACAGAATTGTATTCAATTTCTCCTAGTCTGACACATCCCACTCTACTGTCACCATCAGACTAATTCAATGAGGAGCAGCATAAGACATACCTAAAATGAGTGTCAACTAATGAAGAGAGAGATAGTGGGAACTATTGATGCTGGCGAATCTGAGAACAAGATGTAGAGCTGGATGAACACAGGCCAAGCAGCATCAGAGGAGTAGGAAGGCTGACGTTTCGGGCCTAGACCCTCCTTCAGAAATGGGGGAGGGGAAAGGGATTCTGAAATAAATAGGGAGAGGTGGGGAGGAGGATGGAAGATGGATAAAAGAGCAGTTAGGTGGAGAGGAGACAGACAGGTCAAAGAGGCGGGAATGGAGCCAGTAAAGGTGAGTGTAGGTGGGGAGTTAGGGTGGGGGTAGGTCAGTCCGGGGAAGACTGACAAGTCAAGGAGGTGGGATGAGGCTGGTAGGTAGGAGGTGAGGGTGGGGCTTGAGGTGGGATGAGTGGATAGTTGGGAGGAAGGACAGGACAGGTTAGGGAGGCTGGGACGAGCTGGGCTTGTTTTGGGATGCGATGGGGGAGGGGAGATTTTGAAGCTTGTGAAGTCCACATTGATACCATTGGGCTGCAGGGTTCCCAAGCGAAATATGAGGTGCTGTTCCTGCAACCTTTGGGTGGCATCGTTGTGGTACTGGAGGAGGTCCAGGATGGACATGTCATCCAAGGAGTGGGAGGGGGAGTTGAAGTGGTTCGCGACTGGGAGGTGCAGTCGTTTGTCTCGAACCGAGTGTAGGTGTTCCACAAAGCTGTCTCCAAGCCTCCGCTTGGTTTCCCGGATGACCTCTACGTTGGACGTGGTGACGGACAATTAAACAACTGATCAGATGGGCCAAGGGGCCGAGCAGTGGCAAATGGAGTTTAATTTGGATAAATGTGAGGTACTGCATTCTGGAAAAGTAAATCAGGGCAGTATTTTGTACACCTTTAATAGTAAGGTCCTGGGGAATGTTGCTGAGCAAAGATATTTTGGAGTGCAAGTTCATAGTTCCTTGAAAGTGGAGTCACAGGTAGATAGGATAGTGAAGCAGGCGTTTGGTATACTTGCCTTTATTGGTCAGTGCATTGAGTATAGGAGTTGGGAGGTCATGTTACAACTCTACAAGACATTGGTTCGGCCACTTTTGGAGTATTATATGTAATTCTAGTGTTCTTGCTGTAGGAAGGATATTGTGAAACTAGAAAGGGTTCAGAAAAGATTTACAAGTATGTTGCCAGGCTTGGATGGTTTGAGCTATAGGGAGAGGCTGAAAAGGCTGGGGCTATTTTCCCTGAAGCTTCAGAGGCTGAGGGGTGACCTTACAGAGGTTTATAAAATCATGAGGGACATGGAGAGGGTAAATAGGCAAGGTGTTTTCCCTGGGGTGGGAAGTCCAAAACTAGAGGGCATAGGTTTAAGGTGAGGCAGGAAAGGTAGAAGAGCGAACTAAGGGACAACGTTTTCACACCGGATGGTGCATATATGGAATGAGCTGCCAGAGGAATTGGTGGAGACTAGTACAATAACAACACTTAGAATCGGGATGGATATGAATAGGAAGGGTTTAGAGGGATATGGGCAAGATGCTGGCAAATGGGACTAGATTTATATAGGATATCTGGTCAGCATGGATGAGTTGGACCAAAGAGTCTGTTTCCTTGCTGTATACCACTGACTCTAACTCACCAGATCCATTAGGTCCCCATTCTCAACAAAGTACAAAAGACAACGCTGAAGTATTTGCATCTATCTTCAGTCAGAAAGGCCAAATGGATGATTTTTCATGGCTTCTTCCTGCTGTCCCCAGCATCACAGTTGCAGTCTTCAACCAACTGGATTCATTCCATGTCCTATCAAGAAGCAGCTGAAGACGCTGCAAGGGCTGAGTGCTGACAACACTCTGGCAGTAGTGCTGAAGATTTGTGCTCCTGAAAAAGCATACCCCTAGCTGACCTATTCTAATACAGCTATCTTCATGGCATGTATTGACAATATAAAAAACTGACCAAGTTTTTTTTTTTTTTTTTTTTTTTTTTTTTTTGAAGAAGAACAAAACCAACCTGACCAATTACCATTCGATCAGTCGACTCTCAATCGTTAGCAAAGTGATGGAAGGGTTCATTGTGGCTCTGTGGAATAGCCTGCTCTCTTTCTCGGTTTGGGTTTTCTCAGGATCACTTGACTCCAATCCTCTTACAGTACTAGTCCAAACATGGGCAAAAGAGCAACAGAAGAAAGGTGAAACTGACTGCCCTTGACATCGGGACAGCTTTTGACAGTGAGTGAGCAAGAAACCCTAGCAAAACTAGAGTCAATGGGGAATTGGTGGAGGTAGGAGAGAGTGTCCACTAGTTGGAGTCACATTTTAACAAAAAGGAAGATTATTATGGTTATAAGGCAACATCTTGGCCCCCAAGACAGAACTGCAAAAGATCCTCCAGGTAGTGACTTCTGCTCAACTATCTTCAGCTGCTTCATTCATCAGTGACCTTCCATCCATCATGTGTTTAGAGGTGGGGAAGTTTGTTGGTGATTGTACAAATGTTCAGCACCATTCACCAATCCTCAGACTGAAACTGTCTCTCTCCAAATGCAGCAAGGTTTGGACAACAACCAGGATTGTGCTGATGAGGGACAAGCAATTTGCCTGGCACTTGTGTGATGTGAAATGACTCTTTCCAAAAAGCGAATCTGACTTTTGCCCCATGATGATTAGTGGCATTACTGATGGTGAATCCCTACATACAACATCCTTTGACAGTCATTGACCAAAAACTGAACTGGACCAGCCATGCAAATACTATGACCACAAGAGCAAGTCATGAGAAACTCGCCATCAGTTTCCCCAATGCCTGGTCTTCCACAAAGCAAAGATCAGGAGTGTGTTGGAGTATTCCACTTTCCTGAATGATTGTAGCTCCAACAACAATCAAAAATCCTGACACCATCCAGGGCAAAACAACCTGCTCAATTGTGACCACATCCACCACTTTGTGTTCACTCCCTTTGTCACACGGTAGCAAACAGTGTGTACCATCTGCAAAATGCACTGTACTAACTTGACAATGAGCCTTTTACAGCACCTTCCAAACTGGCAACTTTTGCCACCTAGATGGTCTAGGGCTCCAGAAACATGGAAACCTCGAAGTTCCCCTTCAAAGCAGGCATGATCCTCACTTGAAGCTATATTGTGTTACTTCACTACTGCTGGGTCAAAAATGTGGAAGTCGCTCCCTGATAGGACTGTGGGTGTTCCTACAATTCCAGGACTGCAGCAATTCAAGAAGGCAGCTTTCTGCCATCTTGTCCAGGGCAGTTAAGGATGGGTAATAAAATGCTGGCTTTGCCAGCAATAGCCACATCCAAGATTTTTTTTTTAAAAAGTTTGAAATCAACACTATAGTTATCAACTGCATGAATAAAGCTTGAATATAGTCCCCAGTTTGAGCTACACTTTAAATAACCCCCTAAATGATGGTACCTACTCATGTTACCAGTTGCTTATCAGTCCCATGTTTGAAGTTTCATCCCCTGGTGATCAGGCCACTGTCTCCACATGTCTTCCAGTGACTAAACAGGCCACTATCCTCCAGCTGCCCCAACACTGTCTTATTGGATTTTGACACTTGTACCCTTTTCTAACTCTGGCCCTTTGACATAAGTTAAAATCCCAAATCAAGTCGTCAATTGGTATTCAGTATCTTGGTGCCTCATCAGCTTCCAAAACCACTTAGTATCTGGTCATTTCCTGTTGTTAATAACAGGAACTCCAGGTACATACCAGCAATAGAAGACGTTTGTGATATCTCTTCGAATAAGGCAGGGAGAAAACCATTTCCAGGAAAGCCATTGTCTAAAGGGTTAATCCAGAGTGTCTGGTGGTGCATTTGGCATAGGACATTGCCTTATTTATATCTCCTGAATTATCTGTATGTTTCCTTGATCGGTTAAACCTATCCTTTTTCTGTTTAAAAGTGCTGTGTATGAAATGCATCAATAATTATCTTTGGGGGAAAAAGGCAGAAGAATTCTTAAGAATTATCTTGATAACACATAAACCACCATGCAATTAGCACAGCACCTTTTCATTTCTGCAGCTAGAGTCCAAATCAGCTATCTTCTATTTCCTGTTGTCTTGCTGGGCATAAGATTAACACCACCAATATGACATGGCACCCAGAAACTGCTGATTTTGGTACTACCACATTCTGGGCTCATGTCACTCCATCAAACAGGCCTGTAACCACATTGTTCTAATAACTTGCAATGGGGCTTGGTGGGGTTTTCCACTGAAGCAAATGAGTTCTGGATTAGAAGGTCTGTGGATGACCACCTGACCAACCTCCAGTTAAGGCCCTTGAATGGTCAATTAACAAGAAGTTAAGAGCCTCAATCCAGCAACGTCCCAATTACTTACCTATCCAGCAGGCAAGAAAAGTGGCTGCTTTCCCAGGAGGGAAACCAGGGTGACCTTCCTGCTGGGCTTGAGGTGGGTGTTCACTACTTGCCACAAACTGAGAATTTTGGGGTCTTAGTGATGTTGATGGTAATGGTGTGCAGGCATTTGGCTGCTGAACCTACCCCAGCCTTACCTCTGATTCCCCTGATCTCCCTTTCCACAACCCCCTCTCTGGGATTTGCAAACATATTTGTCTTGCTAGTGTCAGTATTGAAGTTTGAGCAGCAAAAGTAGGCAATGACTCTCTGCAGCTCTGTGACTGCTGATCTCTAGCTGGCAGCTTCAAGTAGGGAAAGGCTTCCACCACACCACCTGATGAGTCAAGAAGCCCATGGTGAGATCAAAGTGCCTAATTGGTGCTTGATTCAGCACAGGCTGGAAACTAGCATGTGGAAGAACATACCAATCCCTTATAAGAAATACTTCTGCTTTGGGAAGAGTGCTGTTTGGAGAGATTATGGCTATGGGCATGACTGTATTTTGTGACATGTTATGTTTTCAATAGGCTCAGCTTAAAGACTACCAGCGTGAACTGGAAGAAGCTTGCAGCTCTCGAGAGGAAATCCTGACTCAGTCCAAAGAAAATGAGAAGAAGCTCAAGGCACTTGAGGCAGAAATGCTTCACATCCAGGAGGTACAAGATTAAAATATGCTGAGATTAATACAGAAAAAAATTTATTAAAACACTTGGAGGTTTTGAAACTGAGATTTTTGGCTCTCAACAAGTTGTTTCTTGTGGTGCTGATCCAACGATTGCCAACCATGTGAAAAATGTCCGTTTTTCTCAGAACATGCTTATTTAAGTGGACTTGTTGCTGTGAACTTAACAATAGGCATATACGTCATTTGTCATCTAAAGTACATACAAAATACAACATTATCCACTTGCAGCAATAAAACTTCCAAAAGTCTGAGTACCATCAGAATGTGACGTAAAGTGTGGCATCTGGAATGCACTGCCTGGATGTGATGAAACCAGATTCAGATGCGGCTTTTAAAAGGGCGAATTATTTCAAATTTACAAGGCTTTAGGAAAGGGTGGGAGAATGGGACTCGGAGTTGCTCTTGTCGAGAGCTGACAAACATGCAGAAGGTGAATGGTCTTTAATGCTGAAACCATTCAATAACTCTGTGCATGTTTAGCATCTATATTTTTGGCATTTCTACTTATTCCTTTATGCACTATGAAATCTCACTAGAGAGGGGCAATATCTTCTGTTAAACTGCATGCAAATGCTGACTGAAAAATTCAGTAATTTACTTCAGCCTACTAAATCTGCCCGGTCTTCCGCAAGCAAACCTACTTAATGGTTAGTGATGGAAGCAAAGTTTGATCAGTAATTTTTTGGTGTGTTGAATGTTTTCACTGCTTTTGCGTTGAATTTCTGGAAAGAAGTTTTCATTTATGAAACAGCAAACTGTAGCCGTGAGTTGCAGTGATGGCCCTGTCAAAAAGCAGCTGGTCCACAGAAGTGGATCTTTGCTGAATGCTTGCAGACTTTGCTCTCACCATAGAGAGAATCTGTGTATAGCTTAACAATCCCTTGTGGTTCTGTTATTTTGACTGTTCCTTGTAGTTGAGTGTTTTTGCCAGTAAAGTGATTACCTTTGGACTGTCATGGCTGGTATGTATGTTAAATAACATAGTTAAATGCCTCCCATGAATAGTGTAACTTAAACAGAAGTTTCAAAGTTGACCGTGGAATTGCTAAATGCCTGGGAGAACTTATGCAGGGCATTCATCTTAATAGGTGGAGAATGCTGAAATATGCATTTTACAGGCAACTATTCAAGTCTTATTTAAATGTTTTTTTTTTTAAGATCATTACTTCCTTTCAAACAGTCATGTTTTTGATTAGCACTTTTTAAAAATTATCTAGGAACTTGCTGCAGCAGAGCGTGCCAAGCGACTGATACAGCAGGAGAGGGATGAGCTGGCTGAGGAGATTGCCAGCAACAGTTCTGGAAAGTATGTACTTTGCCCAAATGGGGCTTTATTTTCTGCAATTCTTGTACCATTCACATAGCCATTTGTACAATGATTTCCTCCTCTTGAAAGAGCTAAGCAGGGACAATTTTGCGAACATTTGATAGATTAGAACACTATTGATATTCAGATTCAATCGTTGGATACATGGTTCAGTTGGTATACAGTAATCCAGGATGCTGATTTCACTTGACCCTCTCTCCAGAGGGCAGACGTGTCACTAACAGTTGAATTTGCCCCATTTAACTACAGATAACCCCAAATACCATTTGTCCCTCATGAATAAGTATAAAACTGCGAAATGTTTACTTATTCTCTATCCTGATTAAATGATTTTAACTGGATACACTCCAACAAAATGTCTTTATTTTTGCTATTCTATATCCATAGTCTCTGAACTTGGGAAAAATGTGATCTCCCTGATTTGGAAACTGGATCTCTCTCTCTCTCATATTTCATTAAAAGCCTTGAAGTTTAAATATCTTTACTAAGTTGAAGCCAGTTGTGACACTGGTGCTATAACTAATTTGGGCCTCTGTTAAAGTTCTCTTAGTTATAGTGATCATGCTGTTCGCACAAGTGATTTGACCATCTTGTCTTACGAGGATGAGCAATAATTGCTGGCCAATCAACAACTCCCACATCCCATGAGTGAATTTAAGTGTTTCCTTACCACCCAATCACAGCTTTTGTGATGAAATCACTTGCAGCTTGGACAAGCTTAATCAAGAGGAGTTTAACCTAGTACAACTGTTATGAAAACACTTCATATTTAAAATTTCTTGGAGGACTTAATTTTTCCACATCCTTCAAAACTTAATGTTTCCAGTTTTGTGGAAATACTTGATATGGCAAAGAGATCATTGAAAGGCCTTTGAAGAATCACGTGACTTGTAATAACGACTGGTTTTGCTGTACACCCTTGCTGGGGCTGTTTGAACAGCAACTGGCTTTGAAAGTTCCTTTTTATTTTTGCCTGGCTTTCAGTTTACGAGCAAGAAACCTCCTGAGGAATTGTTACCCAGTTGATCTCTTCTTTTTCTGAAAAGAAAACCCTCTTGTTGAGTTCAGGGTAAAAACTATTTGCTCTTCTGAAAGTGTGGTTTCAAGAAAAAGATGGAAAAATTAACAGTACAAATAGTTTTGAACAACTGTGATATGATTACGATTTGGGAACGTAGCTGCAGGATGACAAACGCTGGGAACTCAATATCCAAGGGTATTCAATCTTTTAGGAAGGACAGGCAAAAAGGAAAGAAGAGGTGTATTGCTAATGGAAGATGAAATCAATGAGAAGGGATCTTGGTGCAGGAAATCTGTGGTATCAGTCTTGGAGAAGCTAAGAAGCAACAAAGAATGAAAAACATTAGTGGGATTTGTCTGTAGGAAAGGCATTAAGCAGGAAATTGAAGATGCATGCTGCAGTAATTTGTGGTTACTTTTAAACTGGGCAAACTATATTAGCAATAATATTGTGATAGCAGAATTCCTGGCATGTGCAAGATGATTTTATAGAATAGTGTGTTGAGACCTGGGGTCAGCTATCCTACTTTTGGTTTTGCACAATGATAAGGACTTAATGAATAATCTTATTGTAAGAAGATCTTTAGGAAAAAATAACCATTGCATGATAGCATCCTTCATTAGGAAGGAAAGAGAAGTAGTGCAATCTGAAACTAGGGTCCTATAACAAAACAAAGGAAGCTGCAAAGATATGAGGGGTGAGTTGGTTGCAAAAATGGGTAACTTCCTTAAAAGGCTCAGCATTGGAAAGGCAATGTCAAGCATTTAAGAAATTGATGTATTTCAAGTTATTCAGGCAAAATAACACAATAGGGAAAGTAGCCCAACAATGGCTTACAAAAGGTAAGGATAGTAACTCAAAAGAAGTGTCATAAATTCCTTGAGAAAGTGCTAAGCCTGATGATTGGGAGCAGGTCTGAATTCAGCAAAGGGCCAAGAGGTTGATTTAAGAAGAGTGTGGAGATGAGAATGAGAGAAACAAGTAGATTGTAAAAGCTTCCATTTGTATACAAAAGGAAGAGGAATATTGCAGACAAATGTATGCCTGTTACAGTCTGAAGTGGACAAATTAATGAAGGAAAACCAGGAAATGGCACAGCATTTAGACAACTACTTTAGTTGTGCCTTTACAGAAGAAAACAAAACTTCCAGAAATGCTAGGGAAGCAGTGGTCTTTTGGAAAGGAAGAATTGAAGGAAATGAGTATTAGTTAAAAAGAAAATGTGCTGAAGAAATTAGTGGAACAGAAAACTGATAAATATCCAGGGCCTGACAATCTGCTTCCCAGCTACTAAAGTGGCTGCGGAGAAAGTAGATGAGTTGGTTGTCATCTTGAATTTGGAAGCAGATAATTATTTTCATGTATGCTTCTTTAAATTTGTCATAAGCCAGCTGAGCCAACACTTTGAAATAAGATTATACTTCACCGTATAATCGCGTGATTATAATTGCTTATTTCAATAAGTGCAACTTGTCCTCTGTGGTGCAAAGTTATGAGAAAACCACATGCTCCTATTGTAGCACTTCATCTTATTTGATTTGAACAGATTTACTTCCTTGCTTACATCTTTTTTTCTAACCACTTGACTTTTTGTTGAACTGGACTATATCACAACTTTAATTTTTAAAAATTGATTGCCTATATCATCATTTTACTCTCGCTCCATCTAGAAATATATTAAAAACTTTCTAACATAACGTGTAAAGTGTTTTCCAGTTGCTGAGGCTGACAAACTACTTTTCACCTCCCAACTATAGAGAGACAGCCCAGCCCCACCACATCCCATGAGTGATGATGATGTGTATCTTTTCCTTTGTTCTTTCACGGTATGTGAATGTTTCTGGCAAGGCCAGCAATTGTTGCCCATCCCCAATTCCCGTTGAACTTGTTGGCTTGTTAGGCTATTTGACCAATTAAGGATCAATCACAGTGCCTTGAATCTGGAGTTACAAATGTCATACCACGGAAACCATGATGTGGAGGTGCTGGAATTGGACTGGGATGGCAAAGTCAGAAGTCACATGACACCAGCTTATAGTCAGGTGAAGTTGACATAGGAGCAGTGCTCCGAAAGCTCATAATTTCAAACAAACCTGTTGGACTGTAACCTGGTGTCGTGTAACTTCTGACTTGGACAATAGTAAGTTAGTGAACCTGATGTCTTGTTAATGATATTCAATGATGGTTGCATACTCATCGTTATGCAGGCAACTTCCAGGTATATTAATTGGTTTTAAATTCTACCTGCTGCTGTGGTTGGATTTGGAACTGTGTTCAGGAAGTTAACCTGGGCCTCTGGTTTACTATTCCAATGATAATTATAAGCATGTGCTGCTTCTCCTTCAGTGTTTTTGTGAAGTGAGTGATTATAAGGGGATTTAACAGTAGTACTATTTTCTAAACTTTGGATTTGCCTAGTTGGGCTTTAGTGTTTTGTCTCTGATCTGTGCATCCCTATATTTGTACAACAGGCAGCAATTGGATTAGTGCTGAAGGAGCCTGTCTCATGGTTGGGCGTGGAAGGTTGACCCCTGGGGAAAGTGACAGGTGTGCTGACTGTTTTAAGTGCACGTGTGAGAGAGTTTCTGTCCAGAATATGTTCAGGGGTTGGCTTTTGTTGCAGTATTTCTACTTACTGAGGTAGAGAAACAGTTACAATTGAAGGATTATTTCTGACCAATTTTTTTGTTTTTTTTAAATATAGATCTTTGGCTCTAGAAGAAAAGAGACGGCTTGAGGCCAGGATTGCTCAACTGGAGGAGGAGGTAGAGGAAGAGCAGACCAATGCTGAAATGGCCAATGATCGCCTCAGAAAAGCTAATCTCCAGGTATGTGCTAAATAAACTTTCACTTTGTTTTTCCTGTAATTTATCATGTCATTTCATGTAATTCATCATGTTCTATGGATAGTTAAAAATTACATATAATCCCATTCCCCCAACCAAATTACTGTATTGACTTAAACGGATGGGTCAAAAAATATTAGACAATTTTTGTTGACAGTGTGCCCGTAGGTTAAAAATAGGCAGTGTTTATTTGTGCTGTGACGTTGTGGCGGACATGCTCAGTTGTAGCTTTCAGCATGTTCTGTGAGCTGGTGACATGAAACTGAATAGGTTGGTTTGACATAGACCAGCAGTAAAGTTTATCCATTTTTAGGTGTGCAGGTCTTGTATGTGGTCCACTTATTGTTTACTAAATGTTTCTTCTGTAAAACATGCTTCTGCTAATTCAGTAAATTATGAATAATGTAAGGATCAATTTTAAAATATATTGACTGAATTTTTCTTAAATTACTAATGTGGAATTAATGAAACTCTTATTAACCTCAGGAGTTGACCTACCTGAACTGTGTAGAAACTTTTTGCAGAAAAAGGATCTAGCCTAAGGATGCAGGCCTAAGGATCCAAAATGCTGACATAAAACTTCATTATGATTGTGATCTCATCACAAATGGGGAATTGTAATAAGTTGTTGCCAACGTTTTTTGTGTTCTACACTGAAATGCTGCAGTGGAATTTTCATTATAATGCCATTAGTGACAATATTGACCACATACGTAGATGTAAGCAATGAATTTTAATGTTGAAAATCCCATGGGAAATGCTTACATTGCAGATTCCAAAGCATCGGGAGGCGACATTGTCTTTCATAGATCCAAAATCTGTCACTGACCAGGAAGGTGTCAGGAACAATTGCATATGCGCCTATGGCTGCGTTGTGGACCAAGTGTGCATGTGGAACATTTCCTGTTGTCTTTCCAATCAGTGGCAGGAGTTAGAATTCAAAATAAGTCCTCTAAACTGATAAGTCTTAGTTAAATAACATACATAAGTGTGTGTCAGTGGCATTAAGTTCCTTGAAATTACCTTACTGTTACAATTTGTAGGTTGCGAGCCAGTCTTTATTGATCGCCTAAATTTCAGTTTAATTGTAACTTGAAAAATTTTGCTAGTAAAAATAAAATTGGGGTATGTATGTTGCACACAGTCCACAGACTTGGGCAGGTAATGTGAACTATTTTTTTTATGTGGATGATTTACTGGGCGCAGTTGAATTGCTTGTGAGACTTGAAATAATTGTTCTGAAGATTCTGATAAAGAACATGTGCATGATTTACTGACCCTAAATACTGGGGACCCTAAATTAATACTGCTGCAGTATACCTGTAATCCCCTACTCTGTACTTCTCGGGAGAACTTAGCAGGGTAGTTAGTTTGTAAGAACTAGAAATGATGCTCTGGTTAGGGCATTTTGGTCAAAAGGTTTCACTCAACTCTCTCGTAATGTTGGTTGAGAGTTAAACCTGTTTAAATGTCAGTGTTTTGTGTTAAATGTTTTGCATTTAATGATTCTGTTGCAAAGGTTGACCAGATAAATGCAGATCTTTCAGCTGAACGCAGCAATGCCCAGAAGGCTGAAAATGCTCGCCAGCAATCAGAACGACAGAATAAGGAGCTGAAAGCCAAGTTGCAAGAGATGGAGAATGCTGTTAGATCTAAATACAAGGCAAACATCACAGCACTAGAGGCCAAAATTGCTCAACTGGAGGAGCAGCTTGATGCAGAGACACGGTACAAATAGTTCTGAAATAATATAGATGAAATATGCTAGGAGTAAATATCTTTGAGGAGAAGGTCGGGAAAGATGCTATTTATAAAGTGATTGGAAACTAAACATCTAGAACAAACAATGTTCCCTAATGTGACCTACTGTGCTCTTGCTTAGCTTCCTGAAATAGTGAATTTGAGCAATATAAATGGACAGCTTAACATTAGCATTTAAAGTTGGAATTAGAAAATGTTTCTATGCGTTAGTATAGAACCGAATAAAACAAAGTTCCCTTTTGTTCTAGTGCTGCTTTGATCAAGATATCCCTGCATCACTTCTTTTAATAAAACATTTAAGTATAAAGAAGTCTTAAGTTACAGCACAGAATGAGGCCATGGAGTCTGTTGTTTTTGTGCTAGTTCTCAATAGATCAGGGCTTGTTGTGGGGGAGGGTGTTGGTCATAACCTTATTGTATTCCCTCTTAATCTGACAATAATTAATAGCTTGCTATTTCCTACTCTAGTCTGTGTCAATTCTTTTTACACCTAGCTTCTCATTTCCTAATAATGCATTGTGCTTCAGGGTCTAGTTATTTTAAACCTTCAACCATATCACAAGCACACCTCCCCATTAGGGCAATCGACCCTGTTGTGTTGAGCTGTCTTTACAAGTTCCACCTCCCCTACAACTGGTCTCACTGCCAGTGGAATCTTTCTTTCCTGCACCATCTGTCCAGTCATGCATGCATCTGCTGTATCATCCAATTTCTGTATTCATTAATTTTTGGTTACTGGGAATAATCTGGAAGTTACTGCCTTTTGATCTCCTTCCTTGTTTAAAATTTCTGTATAGCGCCTCATTTCTGTTTTGCCTAATCTTTCCAGTATTGGCACGTTCTGCCTGCTTGCTCTCCAACTTCTATGCTCTGCAGCTATTTGGTGACATCTTGACCCTGACATCAGGAGGCAATATGCTGACCTGGAATCATGTCTGCAGCCACGTAAATATCTGCCTGTTCCCTTAACTGTAGAATCCTCGATTTATTGTTGCAAGAGGAATTACCAGTTGCCAGTATTGAAACCTTTTTTGCTAGGTTAAAAAATAAAATTCACTCTCATTACTCCTGCAATACTTGCTTGGTGATTGTCAACTCGCTGGTGGTCATCTGTTCCCCTTCTTCTGCCTGTACTCTCCCATAAGCTACAACATGACTGCTTTTAGAAGTATACCATCCAGGGAGACCTGCAAGAATGAAAGAATGTGGAGTACCTTAAAGTGAGGGCTCTGTCTGTTAGAATGGGATCATAGTTGTTATAAGTCAGTCAGAACTCTAGTGATTCCCTGGAACTTGCTTGAGGTCCCAACCATCACTTTGGATTGGATTAGGATGTCACTGTTTGAATCTAGGGATGAGTACTCATTCCAGCACAGCCATCTCTTCCAAGTATGAAGAGAAAAGACCATTGCATTGTTCGAAGGGGATTTCAGCCAATTCTACAATATTCAAAGAAAATTTGGAAATATATTGCTCTTCCTTCACTGTCGCTGGGTCAAAATCCTGGAATTCTCTCCCTGATGGCATTGTGGGTCAACCCACAGCAAGTGGACTGCAGTGGTTTGAGAAGGCAGCTCACCATCACTACCACCTCCAAGGGCAGTTAGGGATGGGCGATAAATGCTGACCAGTCAGCAATGCCCAGAAAGCGCACATGAATTAAAAAAAAACAGTACTGACGAGATATTTCAGTTTTGATTTTGAGGGTATGAATGGGTTAGTCCAAATGGTAATCCAGCTGCTACTGAATTAGCTGATCGTTGGATATTTTTGTTCATTTAATCGACTTGTTTATAATGTTGTGTAGTGTACTAGTTTTAGAATTCAGTTTTAAACCTCATTGATCAGTATTCTTGTTTCAAATACCTTTTAACCAGTGACAGCCAATGAAACTAAGATGTTACTGGTTAGGTTGGTAAATAGTGCACTCATTATGGAGATGAACCATTGTTTCAGGAAGATTCCAGGTTTGAACTTTGATCTGTGGTTAGTTAACTGACCTCAGTTGGGACATACTTAGGCCATAATTTCTGAGTTTGGAAAGAGAGAATATTAATCAGCAGTGATTATTATTTAATATCTCAGGGAGGACTGGCTGTATGAGTACTTGGAGAGGACAGAGCTCATCTGTAATATTCTAAACAGTCAAATAGCCTTTAAAGTTGAATAAATCTCATACTTAACCCCTTGGGTGAAGTACAGCGGGCTGTCAGCACACACATCTATTGACCAGTTCATGTTAGCGCCTTGAGAAAATCTGCTAACTAATATACTGACTTTGTCAAACTAGGGAAAAACAAGCTGCCAGTAAATTAGTGCGTCGTTCTGAAAAGAGGCTGAAGGAGGTGATGCTGCAGATGGAGGATGAAAGACGCAATGCTGATCAATACAAAGACCAGGTCAGTCTTGAGATTTGATCTCTACAGAGATGTGATGTGCTTCTGAAATATGAGCTGCACACAAGATTCGCTTGTTTTGTTTTCCTCTTCCCAAACACTTTCTAAGCCACATGCTTTCCTTGGCAGAGTTATCTGACTGGACCTCTAAGATTGCCCCCAAGATTAATACCCCTTAGGTCTGCCTTGCCTCGCCTCTTTTTCCAAGATGGTGTGATTCATCAAACAGCAAAGCAAATGTGAACATATAAAATAAAATAGAATCAGAAGTAGGACTCAGTCGTATACTACTTCTATTCTGTATGTTCGTATGTGGATTGATGTTGTAGTTTAATCTTATGAAAATCTTCCAAGGCAACAGCCTAGTGCTATTATCGCTGGACTATTAGTCCAGAGGCGCAGATAACAATCTGGGGACATGGGTTTGACTCCCGCCCAGCAGATGGTGGAATTTGAATTCGGTAAAATATCTGGAATTAAGAATCTAGTGATTACCATGAATCGATTGTCAGAAAAACCCATCTGGTTCAATCATATCCTTTAGGGAAGGAAACTGCCATCCTTACCTGGTCTGGCCTAAATGTGACTCCAGACCCATAGCAATGTGGTTGACTCTGAACTGCCCTCTGGGCAATAAATGCTGCCTATCCAGTGATGCCCTTATCTCATTAATGAATAAAAGAAAAATTATCTCTTACTCCTATAACTATTCATTGGATTTATGAATTTTAGCTAACCTGTGTTCATATTTCAGTCTACAATTCAACATAGGCAGCAGGTCAAAGGTTATTAAATCAAGAAATTGAAGCATTTATTTCTCCAATATAGTCAGCTTTTTTTCTACATTTCATGAAACTCGTCCTGAAACTTATGATCTTCTGTTAATCCTCTGGACTTAGTACTTTCAAACTGGCTGCTGGGTGGAGCAATCCAAGGACAGTTCTGAATTTCCTGCCATTCTCAGAAAAGCTACATGAATTCTGTTCAATATCTCTTGCTGCCACAATAGCCCAAATCAGATCATAGTTGGGCATCAGCCTTTACCCATTAGTCTTGAGTCCTTCTGACATCACCTGCTGGCTCTGAAACAACAGTTTAAAAATTTTGCCAAAGGTTGCAATTCCTTAGAACAACTGCGCTCATTACATGCGCCATCTACAGGTTTAGCTGTTCAGCCTGTTTTGGATTTGAAGTTTGTTCAGCCGAGGCTGCACCAAAACGACCCACTAGCTTTTGGTAAGCATTAGATAGGCAGGGTGGTCTCCTTTGTGTCGTTATGACTGTCTCACTGGAATAAAACCCTGCTCTCCAGAATGTCAGTGTCAGATTCTTCCAGTGGAATGTTGAGTTAAATAGCCAAATTATTAGAATACATAAAGAACTGGTCATAAGTTAACTGTAACAATGTTTTCAAGAGCCCAGAGCTTAAACTGCTGAAGGTAGAACTGCAGGGAATTATTATAATCACTTCAGTCATATGTTGTATCTTGTGTAGTTAAATATGCTAGTTAGTACTTTAGCCATCTTTCTAAAGAAAATAAGTCCATGGTGATTGGCATACTGGAGTAATGGAAGTTATAGCCCTATGATCCCAGTTTGTACACTTCCATTACAGGTGGAAAAAGCAAACTCCCGTTTGAAGCAATTGAAACGACAGCTGGAGGAGGCAGAAGAGGAAGCCCAGCGTGCGAATGCTTCCCGCAGAAAACTGCAGCGAGAACTGGAAGATACTACTGAAACTGCAGATGCAATGACCCGTGAAGTCAGCGCACTCAAGAGCAAGCTCAGGTGAGAAGAGGTTGACAGAGTGCTCACACTGTGAGAATCCTGTCTTGCGAACATTAAGAAAGCCAAAACAAAAATCGTTGGAGAAATTCAGGAGGTCAGGCAGAACTTGAGAAGAAAGCAGAGTTAATATTTCAAGACGGTGACTCTTCAGAACTGTTAGTAGCTAGAAGCTGAAGTAGAGGAGGGGTGGTGGAGAAAAGGGGAGACTAGAGCGGACAGAGCCCAGGGAGTAGAGAAATGAAAAAGGTAGGTACACAAGGAAATAATGGATAGCCGGCCAGGACAGAAGAAAAGCTGAATAAGAGGTAAGAGCTGAGAGTGAGACAATGGGTTAGCAGTGCTGAATCCAACCTAAATAAAGTAATAATGGACCTAAGAGCACGTGGGAATGGGTGACTGTGTGCTAAAAGCAACCAGTGTTGTTACAGGACAAGGTGTGGGATGGGTTTAAAAAAAAATGGAAGTATGGAATCGGGCTGTAAAGTTATTGAAGCTGATGTTGATTCCTAGAGGCTGCAGGGTCCCGAAGCAGAAAATGAGATGTTCTTATTCAAACTTGCACTGTGGCATGCTGGAATGCTGCAGCAGCCTGCAACAGAAATGTTGGCAGAGAACATAGCGGTGTATTGAAGTGGCAGGCAATTGGAAGTTCGGGGTCATTTTTGTGAATAGAGCATTGATGTTCTACAAAGTAGTGACCCAGGCTGTGTTTTGTCTCCCGAATGTAGCAGAAGAACACATTGTGAATAGCAAATGTAGTAGACTAGATTGAGTCAAGTACAGGTGAATCACTGTTTCAGCAGGAGGGTATGTCTGGGGCCTTGGATGGGGAGGAAGGAGGAGGTAAATGGGCAGGGATTAAAGCTTCTGTGATTGCAAAGGAAGGTGCTGTGGGAGTCTGAGGAGATGTTGAGAATGGAGGAGTGGTGTACCAGTGTGTCCCAGAGGGTACCGTCCTTGTGAAATGCTGACAAGGGAGGGGAGAGAAACGTGTGTCTGGTCATGGCATCCCATTGGAGGTGATGGAAATGGTAGCTTTCTGATATGGAGGCTTGTGAGGACCAGAGGGATCCTATCATTTTTGTGGGAGGAAAGGGAAGGGATGAGGGAGGAAGTGCAGGAGATGGGTCAGACACTGCTAATTGTTCTGTCGACCATAGTAGCAGGGAATCCTTGGTTGAAGAGAAAGGTAGACGTTTGAGGGCCCCCTGCAGAAGGTGACATCATCAGAGCAGATGCAACTGAGACAAAGAAACTGGGAGAATGGGATGGAGTCCTTGGACGAGCAAGGTGTGAGGATGTATAGTTGAAGTAACTGGGGGTTGTTGGGTTTGTAGTGTATGTCGGTGGTTAGTCTATCCCCAGAAATGGGAACAGATGTTGAGGAAGGGAAGGGAGGAATCTGTGATGGACCAGGTGAAAGTGAGTACACGGTGGAAACTGCAAACTAAATTGACAAATTTTTCTAGTTCTGAATGAGAGGGAAGCAGCACTAATGATACCATCAATGTACTGGAGAAATCATTGTGGGGAGGGACCCAAGTAAGTTGGGAACAGGGAATGTTCCATGTCCCACAAAGAGACAGGCATAACTGGGGCGCATGCGTGTAGCCATGGCCACACCTTTGACTCAAACCTATTTATGTATTAAAATTAACTGAGTCTGTCTAGCTTTCATTTGTCTCTAGCCACACTTCGTGGTGCTGTTTTTACTTTGCCAACACCTTGGAAGAAAGGCAGGAATGTGTATGTTCACATTCAGCCTTGGCAGTGAAACAACATTCAGTTGTGAAACAGCAGAAATAAAAAACAATTACTGTGACAAGACCAAAGAGGTGTTCTCAATCAAGATACACTGGGGGATTCAAAGGGAATTGGAAGGGAATAAGGTGGGTTGTAAAATGGAAGACTTGAAAATTAATGAAACAAGTAATAGGGAATTCATTTCATCTAGCAAGGAAATTTGAACTGAAAAGGAAACTAAGGTCACAAGAAATTAAAACTGTTTAGCTTCAGTCATATTCCACCTCAGGAGCCTACAGCCCGATGGCCTGAACATGGATTTTACCAGTTTCAAAATCTCCCCACCCCTGGCCTCATCCCATGACCAACCCTCCCTCTCATCCCTGCTTCCTTGACCTGACGCAACCTGTCCATCATCTCTCCCATCTATCCGCCACTCCCACCTCACTGACCAATCCCCACCACTGCCTATATTCACTCACCGACGGTCCCCAGCCCTCCTCTCTTTATTTGAGCTCCCCTCCCCCTCCCCATTTCTTAAAGGTCCCGAACCGAAACGTCAGCTTTCCTGTTCCTCTGATGCTGCCTGGCCTGCTGTGTTCCTCCAGCTCCACACTTTGTTATCCCTGACTCCAGCATCTGCAGTTTTTGCTATCTCTAGCTTCAGTCATGTTCTTTTGAAAACTTGAAATTGAAAAAGTATCGTTCAGTTTTTAGTTTTCTGGTCATTGGAAAGAGTGTGTTTTCAGTCTCCACCAGTCAGCAAATAAGACCTATTTCCTGAAAGGGTTTGTTTTTAGTCTGCTAAGGTCAGCAGGAACATTAAGCCAGTTTAAGGGGCTGCAGCAAATTTCACAGCGGAAGAAATTAAGTATGCATATTTATTGTAAGTGCACAAACTGAGAATCTTGTCATAATTCATTGCTTTACTGAAATAAAGCGTCTGTTTGAGTTTGCAGATCCACTCCTGTATCTTTGTTTATATTTCCTTCATCTCTCTACTTCTTCCAACTATGCAAATGCAGTAAGGCTTCTAACCAGTACTCCTTGTTCTCTGTGGTGCACCTTTTGAGTGGTTTAAAAATGCAAATACAGTTCCTGCTTAAATCAGTTATTTGTTGAGCATTCTGCTTGGTTCAGTCACCCACCTCACCTCCCCACCCCTCATTGTTCAAGGCCTCAAATGTACCTTCCTGGTGAAGCAGTGTTTCTAACCCTTTTCAGTTCTGAAGTCATAGACTCTTGGCTAACTGTTACTTTCTTCACAGATGTTACCAGACCTGCTGAATTCCTACAACATTTTCCCTTTATTTCAGATTTCAAGCATCTGCAGTATCTTCTTTCATTTTAGTTGAAATCTGTGCTCTGATGCCAAGTTGACTGAGATTTTCAAGAGTAAATCGATAGATGTTTTTAGGTTTGGATATTGAGTGATATGGAGGGAACCGTGGTTTACTAAAGAAATTGAATCTCTTGTCAAGAGGAAGAAGGAGGCTTATGTAGAGATGAGGCGTGAGGGCGCTTGAGAGTTACAAGTTAGCCAGGAAGGACCTAAAGAGAGAGCTAAGAAGAGCCAGGAGGGGACATGAGAAGTCTTTAGCAGGTAGGATCAAGGAAAACCCTAAAGCTTTCTATAGGTATGTCAGGAATAAAAGAATGACTAGAGTAAGATTGGGGCCGGTCAAGGACAGTAGTGGGAAGTTGTGCGTGGAGTCCGAAGAGATAGGAGAGGTGCTAAATGAATATTTTTCGTCAGTATTCACGCAGGAAAAAGACAATGTAGTCGAGGAGAATACTGAGATACAGTCTATTAGACTAGACGGGATTGAGGTTCATAAGGAGGAGGTGTTAGCAATTCTGGAAGGTATGAAAATAGGTAAGTCCCCTGGGCCAGATGGGATTTATCCTAGGATTCTCTGGGAAGCTAGAGAGGAGATTGCAGAGCCTTTGGCTTTGATCTTTATGTCGTCATTGTCTTCAGGAATAGTGCCAGAAGACTAGCAAATGTTGTCCCCTTGTTCAAGAAGGGGAGTAGAGACAACCCTGGTAATTATAGACTTACTTCGGTTGTGGGTAAAGTGTTGGAAAGGATTATAAGAGATAGGACTTATAATCATCTAGAAAGGAATAATTTGATTAGGGATAGTCAACACAGTTTTGTGAAGGGTAGGTTGTGCCTCACAAACCTTATTGAGTTCTTCGAGAAGGTGACCAAACAGGTGGATGAGGGTAAAGCGGTTGATGTGGTGTATTTGGATTTCAGTAAAGCGTTTGATAAGGTTCCCCATGGTAGGCTATTGCAGAAAATACGGAGGCATGGGATTGAGGGTGATTTAGCGGTTTGGATCAGAAATTGGCTAGCTGTAAGAAGACAGAGGGTGGTGGTTGATGGGAAATGTTCATCCTGGAGTTCAGTTACTAGTGGTGTACCTCAAGGATCTGTTTTGGGGCCACTGCTGTTTGTCATTTTTATAAATGACCTGGATGAGGGGGAAGAAGGATGGGTTAGTAAATTTGCGGATGACACCAAAGTCGGTGGAGTTGTGGATAGTGCGGAAGGATGTTGCAGGTTACAGAGGGACATAGATAAGCTGCAGAGCTGGGCTGAGAGGTGGCAAATGGAGTTTAATGCGGAAAAGTGTGAGGTGATTCACTTTGGAAGGAGTAACAGGAATACCGAGTACTGGGCTAATGGTAAGATTCTTGGTAGTGTGGATGAGCAGAAAGATCTCGGTGTCCATGTGCATTGATCATTGAAAGTTGCCACCCAGGTTGATAGCGTTGTTAAGAAGGCGTACAGTATGTTAGGTTTTATTGGTAGAGGGATTGAGTTTCGGAGCCATGAGGTCATGTTGCAGCTGTACAAAACTCTGGTGCGGCCGCACTTGGAGTATTGCGTACAGTTCTGGTCACCGCATTATAGGAAGGATATGGAAGCATTGGAAAGGGTGCAGAGGAGATTTACCAGGATGTTGCCTGGTATGGAGGGAAGGTCTTATGAGGAAAGGCTGAGGGTTTTGAGGCTGTTTTCGTTAGAGAGAAGAAGGTTAAGAGGTGACTTGATAGAGACATACAAGATGATCAGAGGATTAGATAGGGTGGACAGTGGGAGCCTTTTTCCTCGGATGGTGATGGCTAGCACGAGGGGATATAGCTTTAAATTGAGGGGTGATAGATATAAGACAGATGTCAGAGGTAGGTTCTTTACTCAGAGTAGTAAGGGCGTGGAATGCCCTGCCTGCAAAAATAGTAGACTCGCCCACTTTAAGGGCATTTAAATGGTCATTGGATAAACATATGGATGATAATGGAATAGTTTAGGTTAGATGGGCTTCAGATTGGTTTCACAGGTCGGCGCAACATCGAGGGCCGAAGGGCCTGTACTGCGCTGTAATGTTCCATGTTCCATGTTCCATGTTCTATGGAATAATGGCAAATAAATACAGTTTAGAAACAGATCCTGTGATCTAATTGAATGGCAGAACAGGCTCCAAGTATTGTACAACTGCAAAGAAATCTGAATTTCTGGTTTGTGCTATCAGTTTTTTAATATAAATTGTTGGTTGTAAGGGTCCTGATTTTAAAACTTATTGAATCCTTAGCTAAACACTGGTGGACATGTTAGTGTGTAATCTGTTGAGAAACTGATGATTACAGGAGAAGCTCTGACCTCCTATTCAGCTGAAACTACTGCATGTTGGTAATCAATCTATTTCTCTCAAGCTCTTAAATTGTTTGACGTGAAGTTCAATATTTGAATATGTTTCTTCATAGGCGTGGGGATGTGCCATTCACTGTGCGTCGTACCGCAGGCAGAAAACTGGATGAAATTTCGGATGATGATGTTGAAGGTCGAAGTGATGCAGGAGATTCCAAAGCTGCTGAATAAATGCCAAAATGCCAACCTGCATTCGCAGTGTAAATGCCATCATTGGGCCAATTGTGATTATGATTTTTTAAAAAGTGCATAGCTGTGTATTTTATGCTGCTGTAGGTAACACCAGGGCACTTGTCCCCTCTTCTTTCCCGCTCAGCTTTATATAACTTCTTTCTGAATAATTTTGTAATGTGCTAATAGCATACAACAGTTATTGTGTATCAGGAAGAATAAGGTTCATCGTACATGCAGCAGCAGACCCAGTGAAGGAGGGTTAAGACCTAACCCTTATGTAGAATTACGTTTCTTAAAATTAATTGCAGCTCTATAATTCTCAGCTTGTGACCTGACCTAGCCTGGAATTGAGCCTATGGAGCAATACTTTTCATTGTCTTTAAAAGAAGAGTTTTTGTCCTTGTTTTACTTTGGTTATGTTTTTAGTATTGTGATTTAGGATTGTAGAATTCCATTGGGCAAGAGGCTCCTGAAACTTGTGTCTAGTTTTAGATGACAAATGCACGTTGTTTTGACAATCCTTTATAACCATTTGGGGATCATGCAGCAAAAGTTAATTCACTGGTTCAGAAACATCAATGGGTGTTGTACAAATGGCATAGTGATGATCTGAAAACTCAATTCTGAGGAAAGCATTGATATGTACTAACAGCAGTTCTGCCTCATTGAAAGTATTTCATATTTGAAGTCTTGCTGCTTGGAGTTAGTCCCTTGTGGGGAGCAGGCTACCCAATCACTGCCGGAGAGGTTTCAGTGGCATTGAGAACAGAATTTTCTCTCTTCCTGCTGATGTGAATTGGCTCAGGTAGTAACAGAAAACAATTAACATCTAACTGGAAACCTCTTTTTTCAGTTTACCTTTGTCCATGCTGATTTGAGGCCTAGCAAACCAGTGTGCTTTCCCTAACACCCTTTTGTTTTCTGTGAATTAATTGTGACAATCTTCATTTACTAGCTTTAGTTTTTGGGATCTATTGATGGAATGGTCTATTTTCATGGAAAAATATATCATTTTTCCTCCAGTCAGTCTCTATTAATGTTTTCAAGTAATGAACTTATTCAAAGAGTCAACTCCAGAACATGCAGTTAGCATGGGCATCCATCTTAACTTAAAAGTAAGGCTTCTAACCAGTACTCCTTGTTCTCTGTGGTACACCTTTTGAGTGGTTTAAAAATGCAAACTACAATTCCTGCTTAAATCGGTTATTTGTTGAGCATTCTGCTTGGTTCAGAATGTCCATTTGAAATCCTTGGTCAAGAGCAGTGCAGAACTGGTTTATGGGGGAGGATGTACATGTTCACTAATAGTCCAGACAATACAAATCAAATCTGGCCAGTTCCAAGACTTGACTTCTCTGCAAATGTTTTATTGTGCAATGACATCCCAAGAAGACTGTTGAAAGGAAACCCATAGATATATATATTCATTTTTATCTAAATGACAATTGCTTCATAGTTGTTTTGGAAAGGTTTTTGATAATCTGTTGGCTATACTGGATTTGTAAAATGACTTCATTTCCTGTGATTCTTTTAAGGACCAAATATATATTTAAACAAGGAAATATATAATCAAGAAAAATTTGGTAATGGATTCTCGTTTTTATATATATGCATATAATGTAACCATTTGCTCTGGCCAATCATGATTTTTTTTTTTCTGAGCACTGGCCTCCAATTAAAATAAAACTGGAAAATGTGCTAAATCTCGAACTGCACAGTTTTAAACTCCATGCCCAGTTCTAGTAAGAGATGCAGTGTTCTCTGGGTACAACAATCCTGGATCCATCTTCCCTCATTCACTGAATTGTTTGGGACCTTGGTTTGATATGTTTTACATACACAACACACTAGTATTGGGCTAAGAGAGGAAAAAGTGTCTCACTTTCCTAAATGCTGCAACATTTATCTTGCGCACAGGAAAATTTGCTCCATTTTTCTTCCTGTAAGGTTTGCTACAGAAACTGGTTGAATTCTTAACAGACACATACGCACTGTCATATTTTTATAAAAGTGCCTTAAACATGTGTCACGCCAGTGCCGCTAAACTGAATTGTAACAGTGGTTTGCAGATGTTACCACAAATGTGTTACAAATAAAGATTTATTGAAAAATTCTGGTTGATGTGGAATGTTTGTCGACTGCTCCAATTTGTGATATTCATGAGAATTAAACTCCTTTTATGTTGAACTTTGCTGTGCTGTCCTGCAACTGTAAAGGGCTGCTTCCTGCTTCCTACCAATGCAACAGTTCAGGTGTATTTATTTTACAGCTTTGTGGTACTCCACAGCTATCTCCCTGCCTCATTTCAGTTCTGCCCTTCAAACCCTTGGGAATCTAGTGTTATGCATATACAGTGTGTCCTGATTTTTATGGCAGTGAGGCTTTCATTTTCTGACTAAAATTCAAATTAAACATTAAAATAGGAATGAAGAGTGTCAAACTTTCAATTAATGTTAGATTATCCTTTATCCTATCATAGAAATTATAGCAGGCCGTTCGGCCCTCCGAGCCTGCTCTGCGATTCAGTAGAACTGTGGCTGATCATCTCAATGTCATATTCCTGCTATCTCCCCATACCCCTTGATGCCTTTAAAAGCTATAAATATATTTATCTTGAATATATTCAGTCATTTGGCCTCCAAAGCCTACAGTGGTAGAGAATTCCATAGGTGGATTACCCTTTGAGTGAAGACATTTTTCTTATCTCAGTCCTTAACAGTCTACCCCAATATCCTGGAACACACTCTTCACTGGTTCTAAACTCTCCAACCAGGCAAAACGTCCTCCTTGCATCTAGTTATCTGTACAGCCCTGATAGAATATTTCTGTTTCAGTCAGATTCCCCCCTCTTTCTGAACTCTGGTGAATACAAGCCCAGTCAACTAGTATCTCCTTGGTACAGACCAACCATCCTCACACTAGAGAACCTTCTGTGCACTCCCTGTAAGACCAGTATATCCTTTCTTATAGGGGAACCAAAATTACATGAAATATTCAAAGCATGGTTTCACCAAGGTCCCAGAAAGTTGCAGTAAGACATCCCTACTCCTGAACTCTAATCCTCTTGCAATGAAGGTCAACGTACCATTTGCCTTCCTAAATGCTTGCTGCACCTGCCTGTCTATCTTCATTGGTGTACGATGACATCCAGATCCCTTTGTACATCCACACCTTCCAATATATCACTATTTAACTAACATTCTTCCTTTTTTTTACATGGAAGTGCATAGATTCATACTTAGGCATGTTGTACTGCCTCTGCCATGTGTTTGCCACTCACTCAATTTGTCAATCACCTTGAAAACTCTTTACCTCCAAGTCTCAGTCCTTCCCAGTTTTGTCCTAACAACAAACTTTTAAATGTTGCATTTGTTTCCCTCATCCAGGTCATTTTACATGTCCTGAATAACTGAGGCTCAAGCATTGATCCTTACAGTATACCACGAGCCAATGCCTGCCTCTTGAAAAATTCTTGATCTATGCTAATATAGTGTCATCTATTCTGTGTGCTTGTATCTTTGCCCACTAACCTCTTGTGACTGACTTTTTCAAAATCTCTCAAAATACAAATAAACCATATCTACTGGTCCTTCATTATCTATTGTACCAGTTACATCCTGAAAAAACTCCAGATTTCTTTAGCATGATTTGCCTTTCATAAACTCCTCATGCTTTTTCCAACCCTGTTAATACTTTCCAAATGTAACGTTATTAGGTTTGACAAAGTTCTACATGGTGGACTGATTAGTAAAATTAGATCACATGAGATTCAGGGAGAGCTTGTCAATTGGATGCAAAATCGGCCTGTCCAAATGCAATTTAAATGTTGTAACTCTACCTGCATCTACCATTTTCTCCAGTTCATTCTACATACAAGCCACCCCACCGTGTTCCTTTTTAAATTTTACTCCCCTCAGCTTAAAAAAAAAAAATGCCCCCTAGTTTTGAACTCCCCCACTCTAGGGCAAAGACCTTTGCTATTCACCTTTATCTGTACCCCTCATGATTTTATAAACCTCTGAGGTCACCCCTTGACCTCCTACACTCTGGTGAAAAGTCCCAGCCTATCCAACCTGTTTTTGTAACTGAAACTCTCCATGCCTGGTAAATCTTTTATGAACCCTCTCCAGTGATAGTTTTCGTGCAAGGGATTGGTCCAAGTGAATTGACCAATGACTAGCACGCATCCACTTAACATGGAATAACCTCTTCGATGAGCAGGACTTGTTTGGTGAGTAGTAACGGCTTGAATTAAGAACTAAAGATCAAAATATTTTAAGACCACAAACGTAGGCTGCTGTTTTAGAGCAGTTGGTAATAAGTGATAGCCTGGCAGCTAAGATCCATAATTTTCAGTAACTTGCTCTATGCTTTGGTATTTTGTTCTCATTAGGGTTAACATTGGCAGTTACATAACTATCTTTTCTTGGGAAGATTGTACAAGTAGTGGAAAGGAGTTGCATTATTTGTTGGGATTGAGAGTTGTGCAGAATAGGCAGGTATGAGAGGAATCAATGCATTCAACAGATAGTCAGTGATCAAAAATGCATCATAAGAGGACAGACATCAATGGTTTTTTTTCAGTTCAACTGCTGCAGCAAGCTGTCAAATCAAGGCATTCAATGATAGGTATTAAAGCAAAGGCAAAAATGCATTTTATTGGTCACAATGAATGTCAAGGTCCCTGAGTCTGTATATCGAACTGCACTTGGAAACTCCTCATCAGAACTTTGTGTCTGAGGAAAATTGTATGCTCAATACTTTGAATCCAAGCCACTGGAATATGCAATTCCTCTGACTAAGCCATGGACCAACATGGGCTAGAGAGAGGGCAGCGTGGATTTCACCGAATCACATACAAGTATCATTTAGAATTAGGCCATTCAGCCTTTTTTTTGCACTGGCTCTCCAAATTGTCTCCTGATTTGGTGCCATTCTCCTAACTTTCTCCAAACCCTTGCACATTGTTCCTATTTGATCATCTCATGCCATCTGAACGCTTTAATTAAAACGCTTTAATTAAAACTGCCTCCACCACATTTCCACAAAGTATTATCCAGATCCAATTCACTTGTGAACTTTTTTTTCCTCTTGTCATTTTTGCTACTATGTAAATCCCTTTAAATCTATATACTGTTGTCCTTAATCCTTTATAGCAGAAACTGTTTCTCCCCCATCTGCTCTATCCAGGCCCTTCATGATTTTTGAAAACTTCTATCAGAGCCCCTCTTAGCTATCTTCTCTCTAAGGAGAACAATCTCTGGATTTGTAAAGGGAAATTCATGTTAGTAAATCTATTTGAATTTGAAGGGGTAGGTGAAGGATTACCTATAGATTTTTATTCTGTAGAAACTTCATTGAAAAGATTCCACAAAGAAGTTTTAACAAAAAGCATGTAATATTGGAGGTAATGTTGCTTTAATCATGGAATTTGTCAAGGGCGAGAGAGCAAGAGCAGGGATAAGATTATGTGCAATTGGCAAGATGTGACCAGTGGGACCACAAGAGTTGTATACTAGGGTCTCAGGCTTTTTGCTATATAAATTATTTATAGAAAGAAGTGTAAACAAGTTGGTGACACCAAGTTAGTGGCACAGTTTAGGATATAGATGGGAGCAGCAAGTTGCAAAGACACGTTGGACAAATTAAGTGAGGAAAACTGGCTAGTGGTTTTATGATCATCCACTTTGAAGGAGACAGTTGGGGGTGTCAGAAATCACAAATCACAAATACAGAAATCTCAATGTTAATATAACTGAGATGGAAGGAATGTACTGTCTTTCTCTACTAGCAGGTCTTTAGGTCACAGCATAAACCTAATTGTTTTATCTGGATACTGATATGGCCAATTGTGTGCTTTCTCTGTATTAGACTTTTAAAAGATCCATTGATCTAGCTTCTTCAATTAGTTTTGAGTTAACAACATTAAATAAAGATGTGCAATTGTTTAGTGCAGGTTTGTAAAATGATAATATAAATGTTTACCCCTTTGAATAACCTACAACATGCAAATAAACATTCAGTAGGCAAAGGAAAAATATTATCTCTGCAGAAGTTCACTTTGCTTTTTAAAAAAAAAAAAGACTCTTGGCCAAAATTGTTAGCTCTTGAATGTAAAAATGAGAACATTTGAGATTTCTTGGCATGTGTGGACTGGTCCTATAGGCTGCAAGGCCTTATCTAGAGGCTTATCGTTCTGGATGTTGAAAATCGATGGGGATATATTTTCCCTCGAGAGGCTGTACTGATGATTTAGCAGAATTACACCAGTGAAAAGTTAAGTTATGAAAACAGCTTGCACAAACTAGGCTTCAATTCCTTTGAATATAGAATATTACGAGGCAAATGAGTTGAAAGGGTAGAGAGACAGAGAAAACTATTTAATCCGGTGGCAGGGGTTCAAATTTAGGAGGGAATAACCACGATGTCAGAATGACCTTTTCTCACAAAGGGTAATGAAAATTTGGAATTTTTTCCCCATCTTCCCAACCCCAATCCCAAAACTTATCTTGTGGCTGGAGATAAGCTAAATATTTCCTGAGATTGACAGATGTTTGTTTAATATGGGTCTAAAAGCTATGAAATGCAAGTAGGTAGTGGTAATAATGTGCACTGCAGCCATGATTTAATTGAACAGAGCTGATGGTCACATACTGAGCTTGTCTTGTTACTCGTACTTTAAGGGTTTCAGTCTTTGAGATCAGAAAGATGAATGAAACTTGTAATGTGTATTATGTAAATCATAACCTCGGGACTTTTCAAAGCTTTTTGCAGCCAACTAATTACCATTGAAGTCCCACTTTGATGTTTCATAATGAACAGCTGCTAATATGCATACAACTAGATCCCATAAACAGCAATATGATAATGATCAATCATATTATCATAAAAATCATAAGATGTAGAAGCAGCATTAGGCCATTCAGCCCATTGACTCTGCTCTGCCACTAAATTAGATCATGGCTGATCTGATCATCCCCTACTCCACTTCCCTGTTTTTTTTTCCCCATAAACCTTTGATTCCCTTACTGATTAAAAATCTATCTCAACCTTGAATATACTTAATAACGGAGCCTCAACAGCCTTCTGTGGTAAAGAATTCCACAGATTC